CAAGCAGTTGCCGCATGGAGCATGAGGTGTTCCAATGGGTTGGGTCTTCTTCTATCTCCCCCTCCTGATAGGTTTAGCTTCATACCCTGCAGATTTCCGAAAATAGAGACCTGAGGGGCGGATGGGGTTTAACTCCAAGGCTCCCCAAAGACAGCGTATCAAAGTTGATGATGTGGAGATATGGGTTGTAACGCCCAAAACCGCTAGCAGTTAGTACTGGTGATGACAAGCAGATAGGACTAGGGTTCCCCTAATTGAATCTCCCGCGCCTTTCGTCTTTGATTGGGGGAGGACGGATAAAAGGTGAGCCTGACTGAGGGTGCCGTTCATCGAATTAGAAAAAGGAGACTCAGCTCTCATGAAGGCTTATGACGACATGGGTTTGACAGTTATATCAAGGTCATCCCTGAGAATGCAAGTTCTTGCCGAACCTCGAAAACCTAAGGAAGATGGGTGAAGAGCCTATTGGCTACTTGGAGGGTGGAAAGGATCAACATATGGCCTTTAAAAGGAAGGATCACTGTTTAAGAAGCGCCTTATCCACGGATGGATGACGATGGTACTGACGCCCGTAATAGTGGAGGCCTGCCGTTCGAGGCAAAGAGCGAAGGAGGGCGGTCGGGTGTGCCGAAATACGGGGTATATGAGCGCCCAGTTGGCTGGTTTACTTCTCGGGGTGCTCCACAGGAGGATGGGGCCAGAAGCACACGGAAACTGGAGAACGGTCGTCGACCCTCGGGTCGAGATATCGCCACTCCATACTTGAGAGATGAGGCTCAAAGGGGGGCGAGGACGACGTCATATGTGAACGACACCCAGAATGTTCAAGATCAAGGCCCGGACAAAATATGGGTGCAATGATGGCACCCCTATCCAAGTATAGGTGCGGCGCATGGAGTTAGAGTAAGCTTCGTCCCGACATGCCAAAGAAGGTAAATCGGAAAGGTTCCAGAAGGCGATAGATGCTAGGAGTACACCTTGGAAGCATTAGTTCTAATCTAGTACTAGGAAGTACCAGTAAACTGAGAGGGCACTAAGAGTGATGTTAATGTCAAGTCACCACATCAAATCCAGCTCACCCGACTTGTAAACTACCAAGTAGAGCGTACAGAATGTACAGAACGTACAGAATGTACAGAATGTAAAGAACGTACACGTACATTCTAGGATGAACTTGAAGGCGTCCCACCACCCCAATGACGAGGGAAATCGCTAAATGCGCGGGCCTCGCATCTTGGATGCGACTAAAAGTTAGGACAGGTTACCTGGCTGGCTGACCCCACGAAATACGGCGCCTTCGTATCTGCACACCCCGTCCATTGGTTCTCAGGGTCGTCCAGGGGAGGAGTGTCCGAAAGTCAATGGCCAATGGCGAAGGGACTACGAAGTAAACCACTCCAAATCGCAGCACCAGACGCTGATGCCATGATACATCAATTGATCGTTTGCCTTGGATATCGTCGATTCCCAAAGAACCCTCGTATTTGGAGTAGGCGATTCCAAGCGGTCCCATTCACATGCCCGATTTAGACAAGCTACCATTCGGGCGAGTTCGATGCAGGCGAGGCCAATAAAACCAAATTAGTTGGCTTCCAGCTTGTTTAAAAGGTGGCGCTGGCTTCCTCCGTAAAGCGACCTGGTTTGTGTTTGTTGAAGACTGAAGCTACCCTCAAGCACTATCCGGATCAATTGTGTATCTCTTTGCCTGGTATGGCAGAAGTTGGGATCCGCCAGGCCAAAGGTTCCGCCGTGAAGAACGGCCAGAATCGAACTAGGGGACAAAATAGAATAGCTCAACTAGTATTACTTGGTACCCAGGGGCAGGCCGGTGAAGGCTTCGACGCCTGGATGTAACCAGGCCTGGTTGCCTCGGGGTGTACGAAGTACCCAACTGTGATCAATTAATATTGATGAATTGAAGACTATCCGAGCTAAGTACCAATTTTGACTCCTTCAAGTACTTCGTCGCACGAGGGTTGACGTGCATTGCATCCCCGGACTTCGTCCCATCAATTGATCCATCAATGTACTTCGTAACAGAGGAAGCATTGTACTGTACAGCTTTCAAGTGTACTTTTAGGTTTGGTATTCCGAAGTACACTGTTAGCGTACGCATCCCTCGGCACACGGCACTCGAACTACTTCAATATTCGTCACAATGCGTAGGTCCTGCAGCACAGCAATATCCTTGGCGCAACAGTGAACGGGATGGTCAATTGATGTGGGCTCCATCAATCCACCTTGGACCTGAATTGTGGAAGCCGACATGGTGATGTCAGAGCCCCACGAGCCTAAAATTTAACTTCAGTTCCTGTTCTTGACAATAAACTGCAGCATGAACAGTCCACTGAAGGAAATAAGTGTCACCGATCAATTGGTATCTAGGAGACAGGTAAACGTTTAGAGTAGAGATGGAGGAACCGAGGGCCAGGCGCTATGGAAACACGCAACTCTCGCACACTTTGATTCCGGGAATGTTGATATGTCGAGGAGCGGAAAATGAAATGTCTGGAATTCCGTCCTCAGCCCTCCATCTCGGTGCGCTTGATCGCGTCGCTGATGTGGAAGATCAATGAAGGCGAAGGCATGCGGCCACAAGTTACATTGAAGAACCTTGACCAATTGTAATAATAATCTCTAGTCCTCGGTATCAACATTGCCACCGAGCGCCTGTGCCCCAGTAACCCTTTATTAAGTTGACGCCCGACAGCGTACGGAGTACTTCGTAGTGTACCTGTGGAATGAATCCCCAGACTTACAAGTAGATTACTTCGTAGACTACTACTTTGTAGACGTTGTTGTGAGGATTGTCGTCTCTTCCACCACGCGCGACAAGTTTAGACTCCCAAGCAGGAACAGCTTCCAGGGGTAAGTATCAGCGATTTAAACCAAGATTAAATTACCCCTCGAAGCTTATACGGAGTACAGTGGTCAGTGCTTAAACTAGGTCAATGCTACTAGCTGAGTTGACTTGGACACTGGAGATGCCTTGACGGAGAAACCTCGACCTAGTGTGGCAAAGTAAACATCAATCCCACATCGTAGTTTACAAGTACGGAGCAGTTTACTTCGACCAAGTCATCTATGTACATCAGATTGATAGGATGAGACTGGTGGCGGTGGCGTGTACCTTAAGCTAATCTTAACATTTAAACGTTTACTCCGTAGATTATGCGTACGTACTTGCAAGTTGCAGTCGCCGTGAAGTTGTGGAATGACGTATGCGACTTGCACTTGAAAATCTACTGTCAAGGAAGTTGCCATGGAATTGATGCGCATGCACCAAGCATCGAGCGTCAAGCATCAAGAATCAACCAGGCATCAACCGAACCCTAAACGTCCTCCCAACGGCTTGCCTCCCGCCTTATTTTACCACCAACGCCGCCACTTGATCTTCATTCCTCCCGAAGCGGGCCACGTGTGCCGTCTAAACTCCCAAGAATCATGTTCCGAGTGCAGACCCGTATCCGGTGAGCCTAAGTACGTCGATGTTGTCCCATTGTTCGAAACCCGCCACCACATCTAGCAAATATTTCGCCTCACTCTTACTCCGTACACACACCAGTCGTCGATCACTGACAGGTCGTAAGTTAATTTCTATCAAAGTGAACTTCTCATAGTCTTCAGGCCACGTCCTGTGCCCATGACGTACTCCGTAATACTACTCCGCGCACACGATGACGCGCCCGAGAAATTCCGGACACTCCAGACTACAGAAGTATTTTCGACATATCATATACTCGCCACCTATATTTGGGTTTTTTAGAAAAGAAGCCTTGCTGCTTTACGTATTCTGAGATACAAGATCCCACACCAGATACAGTCACTGGCAATAATTCTTCTTGGCTCTTGTACATCTCCCAGATTTGCCCAGGCCCAACGTATGTGGTCGGATAGTCCAGTCTTTGTCCTCAGGGCTGGCACATGATAAAACTTCTTCGCTTGGCCCTGAATGCCTCTCCTCTCCTCCAGCAATATATGCCGTGATGACGTGACGACGTGACGACGTGGCGGCCGAAACCATTGGGGAGGACCGAGAAGAGCTGGTAACAATCAATCCCCCAACCAATCTCTTTGCCCACGAATCGCCACGCTCGCGGACGATATTCTATTACCGTGCCCAGTATCGCGCCTTGGACCAGGCCGCCCTTCTAGGCCCGGGGGTTGAGCCCTCGTCGGCAGAGTATGCGTAGATAATCGGCTCTCAAAAACCAAGTTCGCTATTTGACGAGGGCGTGTAGCATGACGTAACTGGCAAAGAGTCCCTGGGTAGAGTCCTTTGGCGGCTAGGCGCCACGAAAGGTTACTCATGTCTTCAAATGGGATATTTGGGGAGATTGCCCTGGCTCGTACGCGCGAGGCCTGACGTGTATGTGGCCAATACGATATAGAGATAGGCAGCTCGAGGGAGGAGACCTTCTCTACGACCAGAAATTAGTTGGTTATGGGACTATCATCAGGATCCCCCCAAGAGCTCCTGGAAGTCCGTGCCCAATTTGCGGCGGAATATTCATTCGAATGGGGTAGGATCGATGGTTCGCTCCTCCTCATGCAATCCTGCCCTTCAATGAGGCGATGACTATAGAGTCTAGGAGACTGGTTGTTCGTGGGAACCGGGGCGGTCTGCGGCGCTCGGTATCAATTCAAGGCAACCTAGCACCGTGCCCGGATGCAAATCAGACTAAGCGCCGTACTTTACATGCGTTCTATGGTACCGGGTTTATTCATTCCATCCCGTATGTATTAGACATAGAGACCTACAAAATAAGGGAGGTGTTGGCATACTCGCTATCAAGGGCATTAAACAATGCCCTGTAGCGGGTGTCGATGAGCTGGTGGGCTGCACATGCACATGCCACTGCAAGCGTGTAGACCACGGTTCGGGATTCACAGGGACAAGAGAATCGAGATGACGAACTTATGAATTCCTATTTAGTTAAACCGACACAAAACGACGGGGTATGTTGTACAAGAGAGGGATGTGAGCTACCAGCCCTCCCTTAATCCTTCTTCAAGGGGACGACGATCTCCTCAATACCTTCCTTCGTGATAACCATCATCTGGAGAGCATCGCCAACCTCAATATGGCGCTCCACGGCGCCGTCGAATGCATCCTTCACCAAGTTCTCGACCTTGGACCTCGAGAGTGCGACCCGCTCCCTCTCCTTCAAAGCGTGCCCTTCACCACTTCCCGGTATGAACTGGTTCTTGAAGTTGACTTGGTTGTCGAGGAACGGCATAATCAAGCTTCCTGCGGCACCTCCGGCACGGCACTGCTCCCTCTCGTAGCTTCCCACCGGGTCATACGAGTAGACGGCTCCGGTTCCATCCTCATCAATGCCACCCAGGATGGCATGGGCGTAGTATGGGAAGAACCTCTTCTGGTAAAGAATAGTCGCTAGGCGTTGCGCGCAAGCCTTGACAGAGATCGCCTTTCCGTGACGATAACGGTACATTTTGCAGATGGCATCAAGACGGTCCTTGAGCGCTTCGCCGTCGGCAGCGAAGCCTACCACAGACAAAACTATCGTTGCATCGTCCTGGGACGCCGTCGTGCCGCCAATCTTGAACACCTTTGGCGCCCATCGAGTGTTAATGGAGTATCCAGAGGTATGTCGGGTGTCGCCCGCCACAATCACGAAGTCATCGCCAGCAATCGCAAGAGTAGATCCTCCGTTGTCAGAGTAACTAAGAAAAAAAAAGAAGAAAATATAACATGGTTAGAGCCTATTAACAATACTGATGGTGAAAACGGCGAAACGGGGAAGCCTTACGGGCTGAACCGATGCTCCCTGATGTTACCTTGGGCAGTATGTGGTGTATCGGAGAAAGAATAATTTGGGCCATTCATCAAGGGGTTTTGGCTGAACATAGCTGCAGAGTGCTCCGGTGCAACGGAAATCTGTAGTGGATATCGTGGATGTAGAGCGCGCGGTTACTCGAATCGAGGAATTGGGGATGAGAACAAGATGGTGGTTGAAATTGGGTGGGCTGCTGGCAGGCTTCAATCGAAGTTGTTATGTGATGACAGCATGGTTAGTGCACGCGTTCCGGCTGGAGCCTTGCGCAGGAGCTTCCTGCTTAATTGCAACAGCAGTGACAATTGGACAAAGCTGACGGGGTAGCTCCTGATGACTAAGCAGACCTTTGTTGGGTGAGATTACGCTGTCTTGGCAACGACATATTGTTCGATTTCAAGATGAAGAGAGAGCGTATTTTATCGAATCCATAGTTTTTGAATTCGTGAAAGTCTCTCCGCACTTGACTTTACGGTGCAATTCCGACCCTACCCTTGCCTCATCCGTTGCTTTGGAAAAGTTTGGGTTGGACTTTGGGGAGAAGCTCCGTTCTTTGCCCTCACCGGTCAGGGACGAACCCCTTAGCCCATCACACGCGTTCGTCTTCCGTTTCCGCGCCCGACTCGGCCCTCTCGATACAATGGGCAGAGATATTCGGCAGCGCGCGCTGCAAAAGCTAGCCTCGCTTTCCGCCGGCAGCTCTCCTTCGTCCTTCGACAGATCTGACTTTGACCGGCTCTGTAAAGCCTGCCATACGGGCCTCAGGAGCCGTGATTATACCAATGGACACCCTGCCGCAACACGTATTCCCATGGTATGATGAACACTCGTAGCCCCCCTTCCCCCCTTTTTGGTTTCCACTATTTCTCGTAGAATAGGCAGTTAGTTTACTAATACTATTGTCTAATAAGACCATTCGAGAGTTTGAAGTCCTGCTAGCCCTGTGTAAAGCTGCACCTAGCATCCGGAATGCCCAAAATGCCCAGCGACTCGTTCATCAACTTGCTCCCTACATACTTGAAGCTCATGCGCATTCGTTCGTCCCTTCGCCGTACTTTCGAAACATTGAACCATCGCCCACGGAGGCCCTCGCTTTCCATACAACGGCTGCTCTCCTAGTGCTGGGGAACAGCTACGAAGATCTCGAAGAGAAGGTGGCGGAGAGTATCTGGGCATTTGTTAATGCTTGCGGAGTCGCCGCTGGGAATGTTGTGTCGCGCCAGGCTGAAGACGTAGAAACGTCGAGCGTCGAGGATGCTATTAGAACTGCGACTATTGCCGTTGCTTTGCTTGGTTTCATGGATGCAGCGTCCGCGCAAGTCGATTTCTGGAGGGCTGGAGGGAGGCTCTCTTTGGTTAAGAGGCTTCGGGATATACTTTCCGAGTCTTTCCTCTTAGCTGTTGAGACCGCCTTCTCGACCTTGAGAAATACACACCCGAATGAACGCCAGCCCAAGGAATGGAGGCATCACCTCCGTCATTACGCCGGAACCGGTCGCCCTCTCGGCGCCATGCTATTGCAACGTAGCTTTTCCTGGTTGGTGGTTTCGGCTACATCTCTCTTGGTTGTCGACGCGAAGAATCTGCGGCAATCTAATGTTCTTGACCTTCTCATTTCTGGTGAAGGTCGGCTAAGACCCATGTCCTCCAAGAGTTCGGAAGCTGACTTTAGATCCGTGGAATGGTACGCCAACCTTGTCGTTGATCAAATGAATTTCCTCGAGGCCTCTGCGGACTTTGACCAGCAGCTCGCCTCATCGTGGCAGCAGAAGATGGCTTTCGCTGTAAAGGCGGCATCTCTCATGGGCTATGTTTGTTGCGCTGCCCTTAATGCCGAAGCCGCCGACGTCGACATCCTCATGTCTTGGTTGGAGGATGTCCTAGTAGACCCTGTTCAGATGGCCGACGAAGCCCTAGCTACGGCTGTATTGAAGAGTCTCACCTTGGTGTGCAGGATTTCGCCCATGCTTGCTTCGACTGTAAGCCGTCTTCTGCCGAGGTTCATCGTCCAATCTGCCTCTAACTCAGCAACTGTTGCGACGGCGTCCAACTGCCTTGCATCTATCTTGCGATTATTGTCCAACGACGCCATCATCACTACTCTGTACACTCTCGGCAACGTACTCAGTCCTGGGTCGAATCGTGCCGTCAATGGTGTCAATGGTACCAATGGCGACTTGTCGACAGACAGTCCGAGCGTGCCCGTTTACGCCGGCCGTCACTCCACTGGTAGTTCCATCTCCCTCCGGCTAGACGGGGAGGAACATACAGCTGTTGCGTATGGCAATGTTGTTCAGGCAATCTGCGGTATAGCCGAAGCGTCTGGGGACGAGAAGATCATAGCCTTGGCCCTTTCGATGCTGCTCCAAAAAATAGGCAAGGTAAATAGCAGTGTCAATGCACAGATTATCACGGGCGCTGCAGCATTGTCCCTAAAGGGCGGTCAACTTGAGTTCCGATCCCTCTTGAAGATGTACACGAGGGTCTGCCGCATTGCTGTTGCTGAAAATAAAGAATCGCTCTTGACCGCAGTAAGCATCGTTCCTGGCCGAGGTTCATTCCCTTGTGTCTTATCTTTTCTTCCCTTCCGCTAACGACATGAAAGGTTATGAAAGCCCGCTGCTACATATCGGCCAACCTTCGACCCGACTCTCCCCTCTTCGATACTTACTGGGAGCACCTCCTCGACTCCATTATTTCTGTGGGAGATGTCCACCAATCCAGCCCCACCAAGGACTCTGATGTGCAGCTAGCCGCTCACGACATTGCCCAGCTCCTTCGGCCTTTGGCTGTTTTCATGGCTTCAAATGACATGTCGGTCGATGCCATCACCGAGGATGAATCTCACTCCATGCTTCGTGATGCTTGGTTCAATATTGTTGTCCACGGGTTCCTTCCTTCAAGCGAATTAGGAGAAAAGTGGATCAACGAACTGCGCATAATGGCTGTGCACTCGCCTCCTCTTGTTGCCGAGCAGCGAGGGGAACAGGTGGAGAGTGATATTGAACTCAATACTGTTCTTCGTAGAGGGATGTCCTCTGAACGTGAGGCAATGCAAAAGAAACATCTTTGCGAGCTCTTGCCCTCAAGATCATCCGATATCCGCAGCTTGAGCTATCGAAAGGTAATCTTTTTGCAGGCTGCCTACCTGGTTGAAAGTCTCCGTGCCGATGCTGGGGATTGCACTAAGGCGCTCTCCTACTTCCTCGAGCCTAGCATGCGCGGGGGTGCAGTGAGCAGCACGATGGAGGCACTTGCTGCTGCCGTTGTTGATAAGTATCTCGACAAGACAATGGCTGGAAAGGATACCGCATTCACCTCTCAGTATGTCGCACTGCAATTGGCTTCGATATTCTGCAGTTGCTGTCACCGGATCGAGCGTGTCCAGCAAGCAGCGTTGGCTTGTGCCGACCGAATTTTGCGCGATGTGCCATCTGCTCTTTGCCACAGGTCGTCTCTCTTCGCGCTTCTCGAACTGTTGACGCTCATGTGGACGAGCTGCCTCGAGGAAGAAACCGATTTATATGAACCTCAGTCAACATTCACCTCGCGTCTTGGCAATGTCACGGTCGAGCTTTCCCATGACTACGATTATCGAAGGCGCACTCTCAATATTATTACCTACAAAGCCAAGGCTTGGGTCTCTGCCGCTATTAACCTCGCCCCTCTCGATGTCAAGGGCCTTTTGCAAACGTACCTCTCCGAATACTACGATGAGGGTGCATACGGCCACACTTCCTTCGGAAGATCGTTCGCCGTGGAGCTTGGTTCTTTCATCCCCGCCACGGACCACCGACTACAGTCCATTGAGCCAAACGGAAGCTACAAGGTCAATGCTGCATCGGATTTCATCGCCCAGTACACGACCCGCCAAGAATATCGATATGGCGAGACGTTGCCGGACCGAGGCATGGAGTTAATGAGCTTTATGCATATCAACAGGCGAACTTCGTTTGCGCAGTCACTCTCTCATGAAAGTGCCAATGCTGCGACGGCCTTAGCCCACGTCGAGGCTCGCCTTCTTAGCAAGAAAGGGACCCCGCTGGAAGAGGTCCGGGCTATCCTACGCAGAGCTGCTGCTCTTCTTTGCCGAAGCACGCGTGACGAATCTGCCGTTGTTCACTACCTTGTCTCCATTCCGTTTGCCATGTTTACCAAACAGTCAATCAAGCTAGGCGCCTCGCTGTGGTTGGGGGTTATTAATGAGAACCCACGCCTGGAACCCCGGCTTCTCGCCGAGATTGCCCAACAGTGGGAGCTTACCATTCAGCGCCGCCTCGGCTTATTTAGTATAGCATTGAGGTGAGTCTACACGCCGATTTCCAGTTGTTTCTAACTACTGTCGGTTGATAAGTGCTAAGAAGCCGGTTTCACAGTCATCCCGATCCCTTCACTGTGAAAAAGGAGTTTAGCCCAAGCGATCTCGAAGCTGTCGCTAAACGGAAACAGCTCGTGCACAACCTCCTATCCCCCCATGCATGGCTGATCCTGTTCCTTGGGAGCCACTTCAATGCCACACATTTGGGTAGCCCAAATGTCCAGAAGATCTTTCTCCGTCTCATCGACGTCACTCTTGATGCCGTCCAGGCCTCGACCCCCCATCCACTGGCTCGCAAAATTCGCCTTGAGATTTTGCTTCTTGGCCTACGAGTCCTCCGTGCTTGTACGAACATGGGCGCGATTGCCGAGTGGCGTCTCAAAGATAAGATTTTATCCGCAGGCCTGAGCTGGTTCAAGCTATCGCCGCGATACTCGTTCGGAAATAATATGCTCCAGGTCAAGACGGAACTGCGACTTCTCACCGACGTCCTCAGTGCGCTTAAGCTTGTTTCATATATTGGTGCTCATGCCGTTGGCAGCATCAAGTCCCTGCAAGCAAAGGAGCAACTTCTTACCGTCCTCCTCGAGAATGAGCAGGCGCGGTTGGGCGTCTGGTTGGACCCAATAAACGAGGCCGCCAGATCCCAGTCCTTCGGGACTAGCATGTCCAAGGGCGCGCTCGAGGTTTGTCTCTTCATATTTGCGAGTTCTTTTTTTTAACGAGTTTTTATTATTATTATTTTATTCTTTCTCCCCTTGAGCCGACTAACATTGGCGTTCGCTCAGTCCGCATTATTACAACTCGTCCGCACCGCTTGGATGGAAGGCCCCTCAATCGCAATCGAGCTTTCCACACGATTCCCATTCCCTAGACTTCAGACCCAGATCAGATGGCTTCTACTTAATGTACCGTCCCGGGCGATCGATGAGCCTGAAGCGCTCCCGATCATTCTAGGTGGTGGCCTCCTCCCTGACGATGTAACCTTCCTTCAGCTCAAGGTATGCACTCAACCTACATCTTTTTCGCTGGGAGCTGGGTCTCGATCGCTAATTCACGTACGCAACAGCACCTCCTGTATTGGGCACCCGTAAATCCAGTCACTGCAATCACATTATTCATGCCGAGCTACCAGAACCACCCTTTCATTATCCAGTACGCCATGCGGGCGCTGGAGTCTCACTCTGTTGATGTGACGTTCTTCTATGTCCCTCAGATCGTCCAGACTCTCCGATACGATGCCTTGGGATATGTGGAACGCTTTATTCTCGAGACCGCACAGTTTTCTCAGCTCTTCGCTCACCAAATAATCTGGAATATGAAAGCTAATTCCTACAAGGATGACGATGCACAGATTGTAAGTCGATTTCACCTCATTCTCTTTCTGCCCTTTCTCCTTGAGCCGATACTTACCAACTCCACAATAGGAGGACGCTATCAAGCCAACGCTGGATAGTGTAATGAAGAAAATGGTGACGAGCTTTAGCCCGACCGACCGGAACTTCTATGAGCGAGAGTTTTCCTTCTTCGACGAAGTGACGGGTATCTCTGGGAAACTGAAGCCTCTTATTAAGAAGTCGAAGCCAGAGAAGAAGCTGAAAATCGAGGAAGAGCTCCGCAAAATCAAGGTTGAGGTTGGAGTATACCTTCCTAGTAATCCAGACGGTGTCGTCATCGGCATCGATCGCAAGTCAGGAAAGCCCCTCCAGAGTCACGCAAAGGCGCCCTATCTTGCCACTTTCAGGATCAAGAAGAGTAGGACTACTGCTGATGAGTCGCCTGAACTAATCGACGATGCTGGTAAGAAATCTCAAGAGCCCGAAGAAACCTCGATTGAAGTGTGGCAATCGGCCATTTTCAAAGTGGGCGATGACTGTCGCCAGGACGTCCTCGCCCTGCAAATGATTGCGGCTTTCCGGGGCATCTTCCATACCGTTGGCCTGGACGTGTATGTATTCCCTTACCGAGTCACGGCTACAGCACCAGGCTGTGGCGTCATCGACGTGCTCCCGAATTCGATTTCCCGAGACATGCTTGGCCGTGAGGCCGTCAACGGGCTCTACGATTACTTCATTTCCAAATACGGCAACGAAGACTCTCTTCGGTTCCAAAAGGCCCGCAACAATTTCGTCAAGAGTATGGCTGCGTACTCCGTCATCTCGTTCCTCCTCCAGTTCAAAGACAGACACAACGGGAACATCATGATTGACGATGCCGGCCATATCATCCACATCGATTTTGGCTTCTGTTTCGATATTGCTCCCGGTGGCATCCGTTTCGAGCGCGCCCCCTTCAAACTCACAACCGAAATGGTGGCCGTCATGGGCGGAAACACCGAGCATCAATCTTTCAAGTGGTTCGAGGAGCTCTGCGTTAAAGCGTTCCTCGCCAGCCGGCAGTACTGCGAGAAGCTCGCCCAGATCGTCCTCTTGATGATGGACAGCGGCCTTCCCTGCTTCAAGCCGGAGAGCGTGAAGCACTTTAGGGAGAGGTTCGTCTTAGAGAAGTCGGAGAGGGAGGCGGCGGATTTTATGAAGGATCTTATCAGGAAGAGCTATGCGAGCTACTCCACAAGCATGTATGATCAGTTCCAGCTTTTGACGAACGGCATTCCGTACTAATTCGCGGGTGTGCCTTCGTCGGCAACGCGCCCCGGCCGCTTGTTCATAATTGTACTGGGAGGAGGTACTCGCCGAACTCGATTCGTGGATTGTTCGAGGGCCACCGTCGTGAGCCATGATTATCTATTTTTACACTATTTTAACTTTCTACTATATCTAATTTACACTCTCTCTTTGGGTCTGTCCAATTCATTTATCTTTCTTACAGCTTTTCGCTTCAATGCCACCCGCCGACCAACTGCTCAGTTTCACTGAGACACATGCGTCGGGACATTGTAACTGTCGTAGTCGACATGAACGAATGCCCGGTCTACAATAGGAACACTCTCGAGGAAATACGTCAGGACCTCGCTAAAGAAGGTGTATTAGTCCGCGGAACACACTCAACAGAATCCAAGTCGAGTAGAAACGGAATCTTACCTTAGATCGTGACTATCCTTGAGTGGCGTATTCGCCTCGAGAATAATGTCGACCTTTATAGCGCACCATTCGTCAGTATATCTCTCCCTCCGCACGTTGACGGACCACGAGGAGGACTCGCTCCATGTTAGAGGAGCAAGAGCCGGCATATCGAGAGAAAGGCACAGCAAAACAAACCTCTACGAACAATCTATCGCCGGCATGGTAGGCTCTTAGATTCTGGATCTGCTTTATCGCGGTGGCAAACCTCATGGTAAGATAGAGAACTAACGTCATATGGCCCTCTTAGTTAGCAGCTAGCATTGGGGGCAACCTTGGCACACGCTTTTTCTCATTCTTCTTCATTTTACAAGGGCAGATAAGACATTGGCAGTTAACTTACGAATGTTACGCTCATCCGGCTGGGCCGAGAAACCCGTCAGGTTGCGCATGTGGTGCATGGACGTAATAGTCCAGGTGGCCATGACAACCAGGGAGAGAACAAGACCACCAAAGGAATCGAGCCACCATATTCGGGCGTAGAAACCGACTGAGAAGTTGTTTAGCAAGCAATGCGCCTGCGGGAAACAGGGCGGGAAAAGAACAAGCAAGTCGTATTGGAGGACGGAGGACTAACCGATAGGGAAGAGGATCGACCCCGTGTTGAATATTACATCGGTTAACGCGTCGTCGGCTCTAGCAGCTTGTTAGTTAAAACGACACATTATAGACACAACGAAACAACTCGGGGAGACTTACAGAGCGCGGACGCTGGAGTTCTTGATGACACGGCACCACAGCCAGACAGCCCCCTTTATGACTACGGTGCTAAGCATGACGAGGAGGGCAGGAAGTCCCCTATAGAGGGGGCGAAGTTAGCAGGGCAGAGCAGAAGGTAGGTCGGTCGATGATCGCCAGCAACAGGGGGGCTTACAGCTCAAGGATTTCATGGTTGGATGATAGTAGCCGTTGGATGGACTCCAACGCCACCTGAGTAAAACAAGTGACCATGATGACGGAAAAGACTAAGACCCCCACGGGTTCCAACCTGCAAACTATATCAGCACCGGACGTGGCATGGGACAGAGCAGGATCGGGACGTGTCGCAGGAAAAGGGTATGTTTTGTCGCTTACTTGCGCCTTCCAACGGGGTACCGAAACTGGTCGGTCTGACTTGCAGAGATTAGACTAGTCGTCGTCCATACAATGGCGGTGCTCAAGAAATCCAGAACCGCATCGACCAAGCTCGCCAAGACAGACATGGAAGGAACCGACGCGACAACGATGACCTTAGCAACTAGCAGAATAACGTTGGCGATGGTGTTGACGTAGAGTGCAATGGAGACTATGGGATCGTCATGATCTAGTTCGGCGTCCTCCAGCCACGGAGCGTAGGGCTTTACGGGGTTGGATTCGGCTCCGGCTTCCTCCTCATCCCGGGCTAGGAGGGGGGTAGTTTCAGAAACGCGAAGGATATCTTTCGCCGTTCGCTTCACGGGCTTCTTTTTACCAGGCTGGCTCGTCACACCGTCTGGAGGAGATTCCGAAGTTCCTTCATGACTGGACATTACGGCTGTTGACGAGTGAGTGGAGGAAGCTTCCTCGTGAATAGTCTGGGGCACTTCAACTGTGCGGAAGGCGGAGGCATCCAAACGCGCAGAATACTCATTCAGCAGCTCATGGCGAATGGATGAGTCTAGTAACGCGTCGATGTACATATACTGACGTATCAGGTCATTCACACGCTCATAGTACTTGCGTCTTGACAGACGCCAGGTAATGTCAGCTCAACGGCGCATCGCAAGTTTAGCTGGAACGACGGGGAAGGTGGCCGGCGGTTCACTTACATGGGCTTGCGCAGAGTTTTGAGCTCGGCTTCGGATTTCCAGTACTTGCTCCACTGATACTTGCTGCTTTCCTTTCCGAGGAGCATCATGCTCCTCATCTGCGGATCGGCGAGGATCTGGGAGACGCGCCGCTCTTCGGCCAGGTGTCGGCGGCGATCCTCGGGGGATTCTGCGGGCCAAGGACTCCGGGGAAGGGGGGGAATATCTTCATCGTCGGGGCCCATGCTCCATGACATTCGACGAAAAGAGCCGGCGAGGGATGCGGCGGAATTGGCCCTCATCAGCGAGCGATAGGGGGGTTCATCTGGCTCGAATATTTGAGGAGGATGATGCAGCACATGGCTCGCACTGAGGTCTGGAGAGGATGGTACTGCCATGGTGATCCTGGCAAGCCGCGGCTGCTGCCACAAGCTCCGCGGATAATACCAGCTTCGTTCGTGAACTTGCTCGAAATCTCAGCCTCACGATACAAGACTTGAAGACACAGACAGCCCTTTTAGACCTTCCCTTCTGCAGAACCGCCTTGATTTAAGTGAATAACATATCTAAAGATTTAAAAAGACAAGAGAAAGGAAGGGAGGAGAAATGACAGCAGATGTAGAAAAGAAGAAAAAAATGCACGCAGAGGCGAGATTCTCAAGAACACAGGGTCTACTCAGTACAGACTTTGTAGGAATAACGTCGCCTCACCGATTTTTAGCGTGTTTCTGTCAAGTGGAGGAATCCTGTGAGAACGCCCAAGCACGAAGTCAATTCCTACGCAGGATTATATGGTCGATGGAGAGATCAAGTGACCCTGGGGGGCAAACAAGATCAAAATTCTGTCCATCTTTTTGGCGATAAAGTTTTGCAATTCCGTTTCATCAACGAAACCCATTTGCTTTACGGTGACTATCCACTTTCTGCGCTCTTGCATCCACTTGCATGTTGCAAAACACACCTCGTGGCAAGGAGCTCGGGACATACGGCACACTTTACAAAAGCGGTGATAAACTACACTACTTCGTAAACTACATCGATGATGTCGAATGTCGAATGTCGAACGCACCCAGACGCGGCATGCTCTGTTGGACTTGGGGAATTAATTGGTCGATTCGAAGAATGTAACGCCACACTATATATATCTGTCAATTGATGTAGAGGCGCAACTCACAGAATCCTGGTGGATGAACCAATATTACTCGTATGCGTACATAGCTTGTACGAAGTAATTTAGTATGCGTACGAAGGACGCTACAAAAAGTTATGTCTTGAAACTCTCCTCCCTATAAACACATATTTCCTTTTAATTACATATACCATTCCAAGTAATTGAATAATGTACTTTTAAATTCCATTTCAAACTCACACCTTTGACCTTTTTTTTCCTCCTTAAAAAATAACATCAACTATTTTTCACATTTTCGAAGATACTACACAGCTCAAATACAGATCTGGCCACAAGCTCTTATTTACCTGATTTGAACGTAATTAAGTACGCACGCATCAGCTGGGTGAAATGAAAAGCCTGTGTCTGAGGGCTAATGTGGTAAAGGGTAGATGGATACTTGGAAGGGATTGAGAGGATACTTTATCACGTGCAACAATTATTAAGTTAAAGGGTAGTAATGAGGGGTAAAAATATTTAAAGGAGGGCGAAGATACTGTTTAATATAATTTTATTTAATTACTGAAGTTATTTAATTATTATGTAATGTAAGTCAAGACATAACTTTTTGTAGCGTCCTTCGTACTCCGTATCTCGATAGAAAATATTCTCGATGCTAGTCATCACGACTCCCTGTACTCCGTACGGGCCGGGCGCAAAGAGTACGAGGCAATATTACCCAAAGCTTCCTCGATCGTCAGTCCGGGCGGCTAGTGTTTGGCGCTCAGCTCTGAACGTAATAGGATGTGCTGCTCGGTCGATCCCTAGATTCTCAGCTGGGACGTCGAAGAGGGCCCTGGTTGGGAAGCAATTGAAGCTCTTTCCGGGTGTACTACGAAGTACTGTTACTGCTGTGTACTGCTCGTGGCGCCTGTGGTGGTCTGCCAATACACAGGCATACAGCGATAGAGTGTACCGGTACCCGCACGCCTTGGCTGGTGGAGAATGACGATTTGCTTCCTTCGAGATAAAACGAGAGGACGGCGCCACCGCGTGGGTGGGTACGGAGTATATCAAATATCAAATCTAAGAAGTAAACAAGTCAGGGTGGTGTACAAGACGGTTACAATTCCTACTGGCCATACGAAGTACTTTGCAGTTAGAACCAGGGGGCACTGTCCATATTCATGAACGCCAAGATGGCCATTTCCTTTTCATGGAGAGGGAACCCATCCTTCGGCGTCACTAGCAGCTTCGCTTGACCAAACTGGTAATACACCACTGCGTGTATTTTATATCGAAGTATTATTCAGGCTCTGGCCCTGGCTTGGCCGTCAATGTACGGAGTACAAGGGAGCCTTCTCCGTATTAGCGACTTTTCCACTAAAATAGTGGAGTACGAAAAGGTACCAAGGTACCTGTGTACTATGCTGCAGATCGGATCGAAATGGACAGACCTGGTTCAATGTTGTTGTTGATCTCCACATCTGTGCGGATCCATTGAATTGTCTCCCAAACGAAGGAGAAGTACCTCGTAGTGTATGTAACTATCGAGGTATGCATCACAACTTGCCAGAACTTGTCAGGACAATATGCTCTCATCAGGATGTCTCTTGTCAGGGCTGCTTACAGAACTAAAACACGCACGGAAATCTCACACTTAATTGGCAACGCCCGTGGACACATGGGCTGCATGTGATAGACGACAGTAAATAGTCTCCGTAAACGCCTCCTGAAGAAAACGCGACTTGACCCCATCGTGGAACCCGATCACCCCCTTGCTCTCTCCGTGGGACATCAAGCTTGTGCGGCAACATCTTACCCATCGCGCTTCACTCCGCTCATCTCGTCCTTCGTTCAAGTACGTGTCGGACGATGTTTGTTGACTCGGGGGCGAGAGTTGCGGCGGGATGTGCGAACTCCGGACGTCCATGCGGTATGAAAGGAGGACAAGAGAAGCTGTCGTGCGTTGTGGGTGTAGTATACGAAACGCGTCGTGTTGTTCACGTTTTCTCCACAAAGTGCCCTCGTTTCCCCGTCCTTGGTTTCACGGCTTCCTCCACTACGAACCCCGCCTGCATGGGTACTGCACGAAGATCTCTGAATCAAACCGGGTCTCCTTGGCTAGACATCTGTAGATGTATTATCCAAGGAGGCCGCGTTAGTCCGGAGAGGCGCCCACGATGAGAAAGGTCGACCCGCCGTCAATGGACGTCGGCTTTCTCCAACTTTGAGCCCCACAGACTCTCTTTCTCTCTGTAAAAGAGAAAATCATGGCGACACATCCCCGGAGCTCTTAAGAGGCCGGCCATCAGGGGGAGGACGCGCCATTATCCAACGTCTTTCAAGGCTGAAAGCTACATTCCCAAGCCGTCATTTAAGGGTGAGAAGCTGCAAAGGCCATTCATCCGCCTAGAGAGTAGAAGGGCCAATCACTTCTATATAAGTTTATCTTCCACCTTGGAGTGTCTGTATCGGTCAACTTAACGCCGCTCTTTGTGGGGTTCTGGATTGAGATCGAACATCAATAGAGGCAGCGTCGCATTTGGGACGGGACCTCGTCGCAAGAATAGATCGCAAACTTCTTCTACTTGCGGAGGCGTTTTCGAAATTGGAATCATAATGTCTTGGACAATGACATGGTCCAGTACAATGGAGTGGTCCTGCGAACATCGATCAAAACATCTTGTGCTACCTTCTTCAGTCTGATTAAGCATTAAGATGCATATTTGAATGGAACGAATTGTGTCTGTTCGAACAAGTACAGAGTACTTCGTACTTCGCAGAATTAAAGAGTCCAATGATACGAAGTACAATACATTCAATTACAAGTACTTGACGCCTGAGTTTGAGTACGAGAACACTGAATGCGTTTGACCTCGTATTTGCTGATTAACTTTGTGTTGACTCAGCCGCTCCTTCGTACTTCATACTTCGTCCTTCGCTTCGTCGCTCTGCTTGATCTGCTTTGCCCCCATGAGATGAGCTAGAACTGCTTCCTTGCCCTTGTCTGCGGCGTCCCCAGCGGAGCCCAGAACCGTGCTAATATCCTCGTCTCCTATTCGTTGATAGGAGTCTGCTCCAGCTTTGGCGAGAGGCAGGATACTCCGTAGTTTATATGTCCACTCTTCTCATGAAGTACCCGGAGGACCACAATCAAGGGTAAGGGTGGCATCTCAGGTCCTCAGCATCGTTCATTCGTCATGCATCTTGACAGCTGCCCCTAATGATGCTATGTACATATACAATGCGCAATGTCTCTTGGGCATATTCTTGGACTGTTCGCACTTCATACTACATGTTTCATCCAGTCCGTGTGGATAGCAAACGGTAATAGAATAAATGCGCTGGGTGAAGAGTTTGAAAAACGAAAATCTACGGTGACAGAGAAGGCGAAATCCCCCTGTACCTGGTGGCGCGAGATACGAAGCAGGAGCACAGTTTCTCGACAATACCAGACAGTAGATTAAGAATGAGGTTGACTTAGAGTCGTGTCAACGTTCGAGAGGAAAGGATTGTCGTCCAACAGCAAACTCTAGTTGGACTGCTCAATGGGCATCCGTTTGGTGATCAGTCGCTTTTCATATAGTTTGTAATACCAGCATCAAGCTCCAGACCACCATGTACGAAGAAGACTTAGTTTCGAGAAAACCCTTGGTGTTCTCCTTTCTTAGCACAATGCCTGCGTTAAAAATTACGAGTACTTCGTAGTGTACGAAGCACGACGAAGTAGTACGCTAATAGTTTTCGAGGTTGGCTAACATCAACCTATGAAGTACCGCAGCCAGGTATGAACACTACCGAGTACTTCGCCGGTCAGGTCGTAGAGTGCACTTCGTACATTACACCACGCACGCAAGAACGTGGGCGAAGGCATCAGCTCTCTAAATCGTACTTGGGCAAGTAGACACCATTCATTGAATTACACGACATGGTGTACAAAGCCAGCGGCATCCACGACTTGTACTCCGTACGAAGTTCAAAAGAGAGTCAATGGGAACGACCAGGACCTCTAGAGGCCACCCCACCCACTACTTCGGACTTAATGATGCAAACACAATGAAAGATGCAGGCGAGGCGAGCCAGCCACCAAAACAGAGACATTTCACCACAGCCTGGCGAGCCTCTCCTCTGAGTAATGTATGGATCCATTGATAAACTCTATCCTCGGTCATCGAATACCATCAACCTTTATTTTAAACTCCTTCGTTCTCTTAATTTCACTTCACAAAGGTCACACAGGCCGTGGCAAGGAGACTTGGAAATACCTCGCTTCCACAAGCACAAGTATTACTTGCTGACCACAAGATCATGTCGATATTGCATGCATCAAATCAATCAATCCATAAAGCCCATTTACGAAGTTACAAAGTACGTGCATGCAATCCGGGTTTCCTCGAGCAATATTGGCCTCCGGGGAGATACGCCAAATGGCTAAATTCAACCTGGTTCCGTCCAGGTCCGCCACGATGGTCGCTCTTGTGTCAAGTTTCTTCTTGAACTTTGGACGAAGTATTAAATAGTCCGAAAAAATAAAACCTGGCCAGCGAGCTCTAACATAGTGCTCCATCGCTGCGGCCTGTCAATTCCGAACCCACAATCCTACTGAGTATGTATTATGTGGCCATTGATTCTTCCTGTGAGGGTTGTGAGTTAGATACCACAGTGTACGCGTATCATTTGGAGTGTACCTCAGTACACAATCAATCTCTTTCCATGACGAGACGGCGCAGGACCCAACAGTGAATAATCAGATGTGACGTGGAGACTTCCAGACGAAGAATCGAGTGGCTCATGCGAGTCAAAGGAGCAATTGAGCCAGGTTGTAGGCGAGGCTAATTATTACTTCGTAATCTACTTGTACGACGCAACGACATACACGTCCTCCCGCGAAAATGCCCCGTTAGACACATACTTCGTCTTTTGTCTATCGCCTCATCATTAAATGGACGCTTGCTCGATCGAATATTACTGTATCGGGTTATACCACCAGGCCTCACTAGCTCCGATGTGCTCCACCGCCTTTCCTGCTCCAAGGTCCAGTCTTGTCATTTCAAGTCAGTTCTCCGAAGCAATGCCCAATGTCCGTCCTCGTTTCTCTTCTCCTATTGAATCAATACTTTCGGACTTTGTACTTGTAGCAATATACCTCACTGCTGAGGAAGCCGCCAGGCCTGTGATTCCGCCAACACACACCCCTAATCCTCATCCCGCAGAGGACACGCCCTTGAAAAATCGGCATATCCACTCCTCCTTCCCACCTCGCCAGACTTGAAATTCCAGCTCCTTTCTTCCTCCTCACAATAATAATAATAATAATACCCACACACCACACATTTGATCACACATCACATCACGCATCTTTCATTGTTGTTGCGGCTGCGACATGTCTGACTGAACTTTTCTCGACATTGTCGGTCATCGAAATGCCTCGATGTCCCCCTAACTATCTACTCTTCCTCCAGCAACATTGACTTTACCAAGTCCGCAACCGGTCGATCCGCCCATTCGAATTTCACAGATCGCAGCGAATAGTGCCTTAATCCCCCCACCCCCCTTTGACAAGTAATATTGGTTGGCGGTCCCGCCCTCCCGTGGCCCTCGCTCTACCTTCCCTGCAGTTACCGCCGCCGATTTTCCCTTGCAAACTCGCTGTCTGTATTTCTCTCGTTGGCCCGTCGTTCACTTCCTGTGCTTTATCGATCGTCGGTCCGCTGTCTACGTCTCAGCTCGGCCTCTTCGCCTTACCGCTCGTACTGTATTTCGGCCCCTTTGGTTCTTCCGTACATCTGCATCTGCTCTACACGACCTAGATATTCGCGACCTCTCTGCCTTCGCCCCTTCCCCTCCAGATCATACCATCCGAATCATCCGACATATCAGAGTCGCGCTGCTTTCTCCATAATAGTTACTCTCCGCTGCCTTCAACTTGCGCGCAATCCGTCTCCGTAAGTCTCCTTCATCCCGTTTCCTCCGCTCGTCTCCGCCGATTCCAACCCACATTACACCGTGGTGATGAGGAAAGCGTCCTCGCTGAAGAGGGTCTGGAGTTGGGCCAGTCTCCAGAACTTTCTCGCTCAACTAGCGTTGTCTCTCCTGTGAATCAACTACGAATAAATGAGACGTTCTTGTCGCCTGGATGCTCTCGACGAAAGATCTTGAGATTATAAATGCCACTTTCACTTCCCATGTTCGCATTCCGACCCCTGGACCTAACTAGCCTCGGTGTGTGAACTTGGTGGGCAAGCGTTCATGTCCACCTGGTTATGATGACCGTTTGCATTCTCGTGATGCCTGACCTGGGGCATCGCCAGTCTCTACATGCCTTAGACTGACTTTTCTCCGTTCCGCAGCCTTTTCGTTGCCCATTTCGCAGTCGAGCGTGGGAAAGGAGGCGATTTCACCTCGCTGTTTAACCAGGGGAGAGGAAGCTTCCCTACGACCGCACGCCTGCCCCTACCGACACTCCCACGGCGAGCGAACCGATTCCCCCTACCTTATACTACCCACCTTGCGTCCGTCGAGCTGGCGCGGCTGCCCCCTTCTTCCAGCCGAATACATACTCGAGACCGCCCCCGTTTCTCTCGGGAATAGTATTGCTCGAAAGGGCTGTTATACTGATGGCTAAATTTCCCGTCGCCTTTGGCAAGCGGAAGTCAGCCGCAAACAAGGAACATGTGGACGGTCAGGTTTCCTCGTTCCGCGTCCTGGAACGGACAGAAGTAGGAGAGGTGAAACCTTTCGATAGTGGTTCTGGGTTAGGGCGACCAATCACTACAACCACCGTACGACCTTACTCGCAAGTCGACATGTTGGCCGAGGAAGACAACATGTTTACCAGCTTGAAGATAAACAGGTATGCACATCCATCTTGCTGTGTTTTCATTGACCCACTTGTCTCGGACATTTTATTTTCCTCCCTCCCCCTACCCGATGGCTCATTTCCCCCCTGAATCCGGATGATCCCTCCCCGTTGTGTTCTCAAGATTTTTTTTTTCTAAGTCTCTGTTCACTTGTGACTTCTCCGCCTTCTACCAGAGGTAACCTAGAAACCGGTACTTGCATCGCCATTAGACCCTTCCTGGCACTGGTCTCGCGGTTCGGTTCTTTTCTCCGCATGCTAATCATTGCAATCCAGGGGCAGCGGGTCTTCCAACACAACCAAAACGGCATCCACTGACACATCATCTCGCCATAGTGCAGTCTCAACCGCGCCGTCCTCCGCTACTCCGTCCGCGGACGTTAGCCACCCTCAGGCCGCGGATGACGCTAGGATAGCTAGAAAGCCCTTATCGTCTGATGCCAACCTCCCTCCGGTCCCCAAACCTCCTAGCTCCGGCTTCCTAAACCGTGCCGGACGTACTTTCTCCTTTGGCTCAAAGAAAAGCCAGCTTCCTCCGGTCAAAGACACACCACCCCCCGTCCCTGTCCATTCTACCTTATCTCGTCCTCGAGGTATGACCACCACCTCTATAGCTACAACCACCACAACGAGCACTGCAACACCGCCAAAGCTCGACGATGAGGAGTTCAATTTAGATCTTGGTGGCGATTTTGGCACAATGTTCAATGGCCTCGACAAACGTGCGAGCATGGCAACGGTTCGAGACGCAAACTCGCATGCCTTGCAGCCTCGGTCTCTCACAGACAACCGCATCCCGCAATCGGCGCAGGGCAACTCCCCGCGCCCTCCCCACTCCCCACATTCGATCAATAGCGATAATTCCAACGATGGTCTCCTCAAATCCTCAGCCACCGACCCTCTCCCTTCCCTACCAAGGCAGGCCCCCCCTTCCGTCCAACGATCCAATCGGCCATCCGACATTATCGAAGATGAAGATGCGAACTTGCTAAGGGAGTCTATCGCTGCGAGCAAGTTCCTCACGACCCCCAGCGCTAGGGGAGGGCAGTCGAGCCGCCCCCGACGAGATGATGACACTTTTGTGGCGGGCTCGTCATGGAAAACCGAGAAGAGTGGAAATGACGAGAGCCTATTCGATAACAGCTTTCTTCATGCAACTAGGGTAGCACACCGATACGTATCGCGGCCACCAAGCCCTCCTCGAAATCGGGTGATGACACCGGCGCAGTTCGAAAAGTACAAGCAGGAGAAGGAACGCATCTCGGGGCAGAGGGGCGATGAAGTGGGTGAGGTCAAGGATGACGAGGATGACGAGGAGAACTACGAAGACGACGACGATGAGGTGGAGAAATCGAAGCAGGCCGCCAAACAGCGAAGGAAGCAGGAAGCCCACATGGCAGTGTATCGCCAACAAATGATGAAGGTTACCGGGGAATCAGCCAATACTGCTCCGAAGCCTTCATTGGCAACGTCCACACCCACGCCAGTTCCAGCCACAGTGTCCGACGGATCAGACGAAGATGAGGAAATCCCTCTCGCAATCCTCGCCGCCCATGGCTTCCCGAATAAGAACCGACCCCCTACGCGCCTCAGCACAGTGGCTTCGAACCCGAATCTCCGCGCCTCCATGATAGCTAGCCAGCAGCCATCCAGGCTCTCTGTAGCTGTGGGTGAGAATGGCCCCTCGGCTGCTGGTTCCCGGGTATCCCAGCTCCCCGCATTTGCTAGGAATCTCCCCCAGGACCCTTTCGTTGGTGCCGGCCTCGTCAGGAACTCCGCGAGGGAATCCATTGCGATGGGCGGAGGCGCCCCGGCACCCACCCCGTCAACCTCGTTGCCGCCTGGTGGTTTGGTCGGGGTCATCGCGAGCGAGGAAAGATCGCGGGCCATGCGGCGGGGTAGTCCCAACATTGACGGTAAATTGATAAGCAATGTGAATGGGACCCCGGGCCTTAGTTTTGACCCCATTGCGGGAATTCCGCCACAGATGATGTACGGCATGGGCAGCTCGCCCTCAATGCCTCATCTAACGCCGATGGGATATTCTCAGCCAATGCCACAAATGATGCTGACGCCAGGAGACCAAGCTCAAATCCAGATGACCCAGCAGATGCAGCAGTTTATGCAGATGCAGATGCAATTCATGCAGATGATGGCAACACAGCAAGGCGGTGCTGGACCCCGTCCGAACTCCTTTGTTGTGCCACCCGGATCGGGTGAGATGTCCTCACGACATTCTTTTGTCGGAGGTGATCTTGGAATGGAGCCTCCGAGATTGGACAACCGCATGAGAACTATGAGCATGGTCCAACCCAGTTCTGCGTCATGGATCCAGCCGATGGGTGGATACGCTCCCTCCATCCGTGTCCAAGGGGATGGGTATGCCCCTTCCATTGCGCCCTCCGAGCGGAGCAATATTGGACTACCCGGTCGCTACCGCCCTGTATCTCAAGCACCGCCGCCGCCTCACGAGGCAATGCGTCGAGTTTCTACGATGTCAGGGGCGCTTAGTTCCTGGGACGAGCCGCGGAACTCAGCCCCCGCTCCGGCACCGCCGCCGAAGAGCGGGAACAACTCGGATGACGATGACGAGGAGGGGTGGGTCGCGATGAAGGCGAAGAGGGAGAAGAAGCGATCTCTGTGGAAGTCGAAGAAGGGGCTAGGTGGCGGGCTCTCTGCCTTTATATCATGATAGGGGTCTGCACCCTTCATCCGATTCCCGGCATTCGCGTCAGCCTTCTTCACACACCTCTCGGCTTCTCGTCATGTTCATCAAACTCTCCTCGTCTTGTGGATAATAACTATTTCCTTTTTCGAGCTCACCTACCAAGTATATAACCCGAGGTACCCTGTTGCCGGGCCGCTCCGGGCGCATTGCTTTCCTGTTTCCCCGGCAAAAGAAGACGCCGAGGAGGTGTGGTGGTTCCTGTTTTTTTTTTTTTTTTGCTGAACCTGCATTGTTTAGCCCAAAAAGAGAAGAAGGGTGAAAGGGAAAAGAATCTAAAATCAAAGTAGCCAAGCAATTTCCTCTGTCTGTACGCATGCATTCTATTCAGGTTATGGATTTGGGCTAGGGAATGCACATATGTGGTGGAAGAAAGGCTAGACCAGCTCATCTCGTTGGATGAGGCCCAGCTTGCCATCATGATAGACAAACCTTATATTATGCGTATAATTCACTAATATCAACCTTCTAACACCTCTCTTCTGGCATTTTATCTTTTGGAGGGACATAAACGCAACACTTTCTCCACCTAATAGTAGAATATATCTTTAGATAGAGAGATGGAGAGAGGGTGCTCTGTGGTTTCAGAAAATGTCGACAACCGCCAGACTATGTCAGATGAGAAGATACGTCTCCGAAAGCCTGACATACCCAGATTGTGATTTCGTATAGCCTACCCGCTATCGGCACCCGATCCCGTGCCCCCGGAGCCGCAACCCGCAGATCACACTCCCATCCCCCCTTCAAGTGCGGCTAATGTTGAGCTCCTTGAGCGGTGGTAATGTTGCGTCGGGAGCGGCGTTGTCGATGCCACTATACTTATTGATAAAGCCTAGGACTTCGCGATGCCATACCAACGAGTTCTCGTGCTTAAGAACCCACTGAAGCCGTCTCTTGTCAGAATATTAAACTGCCTTGCGCGCTCAGCCCTGGAGGAAGCCCCAGGCTAGGTCTTGTACTTACATGATTCTCATCGGGAAACATGACGAATCGACTGGGGATGCCTCTGGCTTGGAGGACGTTGAACATGGCCAAGCCTTCGGAAATGGGCAGCCGGTAGTCAAGCTCGTTATGGATAACCTAATTATCAAACCTAAGTCAGCCCGACCCCCGAAGACGTCAAAGGGCCAGAAATAGCAGCTCTGATAACGTACCAGCATCGGGGTTTCCCACTTGTCCGTAAACCTGGATGGATCCCATTTCTCATATGTCTCTCGACGTTCCCAAAGGGGGCCGCCGAATTCTCGGAGGGGGAAGAATAGCTCTTCGGTTGACCACTGGTTTAACGTGGAAAAAACGCCGTCATGACACACCAGTGCCTTGAACTTCCGACCCAGCGGGTGGCCTTGGATCCAGTCTATACATCGGATAAGTTTAGTTCTTCTCAGCTCCCAACTCGAGACTGGCTATGAAACGGTGAATGAACAAACATGACCTACTGATCATATATCCACCGTAAGAAGCGCCGAGGGCAACGCCATTTTCAATATCAACGTATGGCAGGTTATCTCTTATGTGTTCCCAGCATTTCTCGAGGTCAACATAGGGTCTTCCACCCCATTCATTCTGGATACGATCTGTGAATTCCTGCCCGTAGCCTGTGCTGCCAGTCGGATTTATCATGACTGCGACGTAGCCTGCCTCTGCGAAAATGGCGGGATTCCATCTCGTGCTCCAACTATCCAGCCACGCACCTTGCGGCCCGCCGTGTATCAGGAACGCCAATGGGTATTTCTTGGACGGATTGAAAGTTGAAGGTTTCATAACCCAGGCATGGACTTTGCGGTCGTCGCATCCAGTAAACCAAAAGTCCGAGCACTGTGATCGTGATAATCCCAGTGACTTCCCATGTTTAGTTGCGGAGGACAAGACTTTGATATCCTTTGTCCTCGGGTCGAGAATGGAGTAGCAAGCACTGTCGACCAACGAAGCAGTGGTTATAAGGAGACGAGGGTCGGATTCTGCTAGGCGTCTAAAGCCCGTTACAGTATCGTTAGTGTAAACCGGTTCTGGCAGCTCCGTAGCCAGGGCTGGCGACGCAGGAAGTCTCCAGAGAAGAACTCTGCCATGTTTCTCTGCTGATATATAGAGTTCCGTGTCGTCGGCGCTCCATTCGATGCCCGAAGGACTATAATCCCAGCCGCCCTCCCCGTCTTCCGTCTCATAAAACTCCTGCACGCTACCCAAATCATTTATATCCGGTATCACCATCAATCTCGTCTTGTCGGCCTCATACTGTATGTTTCTCATACGTACGAACGCCGCTTTTTTTCCGTCTCGGGAAAATGTTGGCTCCATGCTGTACCCAGATAATCCGCGAGTCTTGACGGCTCGTGGCTGGGGTGGGTTGGACTCCGTCCATGATTTGATAGGAACGTAGTACAAGTCACTCTTAGTATAACAAGCTGGATCTCGAGTCGGGTCCCGCGAGACAAAAATAATACCGGAGCTGCTGATATCAAAGTGATCCGTACCTCCGAACGGAGGAATGGGGCACTCAAGGTCGGTTCCAGCAAGAGCATTGATGAGACCGGGCTTCTGAAGCACGAACTGGCCGTCCACCTTCTTCAGCAAGCCATACCATATAGAATTCCGCGCTTTGCCGTTCCACGAGTCCCAGTGCCTCACATAGAGGCTCGAGTAAACCTTTGCCGATGAGTGAGATTTGGTGTCCTTGGAAGGCTGGTGCATTGAACCATCAGGAGTTGTCTCCGCCGAGCACGCGATGACGACCTCATCCTCGGAGATCCGCTTAGCTTTAAGGTTGGCGAGGATGCCGTTTACGCGATGCACTACCACAGGTTTGCTGGGTAGTAGGAATTGGTTAGCGGGTGTCGACAAATCGCCCATCGTGCGTAGATAGAAATGTGCATTCCATGTGCGCCGTGCCAAGCGCAATCTTCAATGATGGGCTAACAGATCCTACCTGCCACTTGCAACGTCCAGGTGCACGAGGGAGGTGACGCCATCCCCGCTGCTGCTGTGATCTAAGAGAAGAATCTCGTCCTCACCCAACCATGTCGGGTCTTTGAATGAAGAGGTTTCAGCGATGACAGTAGTCTCCCCAGTTTCGACTCGAAGGAGACGGATCTGGTCAGTTTTGGTGTGGGTTTCGAACGAGTAAGTCGAGTTCTGTGGAAAGAAGATCAGTTTTTGCAGAGTTTCTCAAAAGTGAACCACATTCTCATCCTCCCCATAAAGGAGAAGCATTCATGGGCGTCCGTGAGAAAAGGGGACCGAGTAGGAAATCTACCTACCGTATATAGGATTGCGGTTCCGTTGGGATTCGGGGAGCCTTGACTACGACGCGGTGCAGACAGAAGTACCTCGGGGGTGAACCTAGTTGCCCGGATAGTCATCTTGAAAGAGGATTGCGCAATCCTGTAGTCTCTATTGCGGGAAACGAGGTGGTTTTTTCTTTTTTCTATGCTTTATACCGTTGAGGTCGGAGAATGTGGAAGAGAAGGGGCCGTCTGAATGTGGTGAAGGGGATGAAGTGATGCTGTTAATACATTGCTGACCCCGCATCCGATGTTATGCGCTTACAATTGTACACTTAAAGCTATTACTGGCCAGCCCCGCTCTTAGCACCAGAAGCGGAAAGGAGCTTGCCCCTCAGGGTGTAGAAGCTTGGGATATCGGACCTGCCCCAGCAGACAGACCTGGCGCAAAAAAAGGGCAAAGGAAACTTTCAAGAGTCACCAAGCAAAAACGTAGCTCGCCCAGAAGAAACATATATCACCGAGTGACCCCGTTGATGCTCAGATTATCAGCCTGGAAGAGACGGGTACCCCGCGTCATAAGGATTGTGTCCAACTGCCTATGCCTCGAATACAATTATACACGGCGCGGCCCAGATTCATAGCGCCGGGTGTGCTGCCCCTTTCCCCTGGAAAGTTGGGTTGAGGGCCATTTTGGGGGGAGGGGGGGGGGGACTGCCCGCTTTTTTGCATTTATTCAAGCTTGCCAGCAGCCCATAACCTGCGCTTGGAGCCCATCTCGACCGCCGCAAGGCCCCAATCATGACCATGGTTATGGCCGCCTGGAGTTAACCCAGCCCTTGCTTGGGCTTGTTCGTCCGTGAGGACGGTAAGCACACCGAAGATGACGGGAATGCCTGTGTCGAGCTGTACTCTCATGAGACCCTGAGATACCGAATCCGCAATATACTCGAAGTGCATGGTCTCTCCCTTGATGAGAACCCCGATCGCGATGATGGCATCAAATGGGCCATCTGCCGCCGAAGTTCCGGTCGGCAGAGACGTAAGGTCCGAGGTAGACGAGCCGAGGAGGTCACCAGCGGAGATGGATGGGCCACTGCTCGAGCTCTGGATCTGTGAAGCTGCGAACATTCTGCGAAGATTCAAGCCTTAAAACTGGTGCTCTACTTTATGAATAGGTTGACGTGGTGTTGATGGGGTGTGCGCCCGGCCGTGTGTGTGGGCCTGTGCCTACTCACCTTTGCACAGCTGTGGGCAGCTCCCAGGAGCCTGGGACAGTTTCCACTACTATATTGGACTCCTTGACACCGCACTCTAGAAGTTTGTCCTGTGCGCCTCTTACCAGAGGGTCGATGATCGACAAGTTCCACCGAGCATGGACGATTGCGACTCGAAGATTTGTTCCATCGTAGGCCTTGGGGGCAGGGCCTTTAACAGTCGACATCTCGACTAGGTTATTCCAGCTTCGTTTCGCGAATAAGTAATGAGGCGAGGTCGAAATTGGGGGTCTGGTTGACGACGAGCGGTCGTTACGTGGGGAAGGGAAGGGGGGTCGCTCGGTAGGTACTAAGTGGTAAGATGACGATGTGGTCAAGTACAAACCGGCACCGGCAGCAGAAGATTGATCAATTGATGTAACGCAAATGAATTGGAAATTCTCTGTCACTCGAGTGACGCAAGCTCTGCCTATAAGAGAGTCTTTGGGCGATAATAAGACCAGTGTCTTGTTGCGGTGGTGAGTGCGGGGTTCCGGTGTTAAAAAAAATGCCCCGCCACAATTGCAATTGTCATGATCCAGACTTGGATGATCAATCAAATCTACTTCGGCACGATGAGTAGTGTACAGAGTACGAAGGAAGTAGTATGAGCTAATGGGCTAGTGTAAGCCAAAATCGACATGTGGATCAGTGATGTTGCGGCTCATTGTTGCCTGCGAGTTCCACTATAAGCTCGAAAGTGAAGCATGGATAGCTTCACGCGGACCAATGAAAATGATGTTCCTGCTGTTGATTCTTGCTTTGTCCTCGCGCATTTCCGCTAGGGCCGACTTTTCGCCCTAGTTTTAAGTGTGAACCTAGGTTCCTAATATTAATGCCTGCGTATTACCTTTGTACTACTTCGGGCAGTTGTATGAGGCTCCCGCCCGCCAAAACACACAAGGTGGTCGTCGCATCCCACCCCACCACATCGACACCTTCACAGCAAAGCCAGAGAGAACGGCATCCGGATCCTCGAAGCAAGGGAATACACTCGCCCACAGCCATCACCGGACTGGCCGAGGCACTGGACCCATGGCTTCAGATAACAAAAAAACTCCCGGCGCCTTACCTGGCCCGCCCGGCCCGCCTCCAACCTTACAAGAGTACCGCAAGGAACAAGCCCGACTTCGAGAGATGATTGAGAAGCAAAAGCAGTTGTCTAAGAGACTTGTTCGTGTTCCCATTCTCGCGCTCTTCTCTTTCAACACCCAAGCCCCCAAAGTGACTTGCCATTCTCTGTTCCTAATTCGGAACCCATTCATCACAGGCGCAGCTCGAAGATACCATCATTCAGAAGGAATCCGCATACCTTGAATCATCGCCGGCGGGCAATATTATCACAGGCTATGACAACTACGTCAAAGGCACGAGTGGAGCCGCCGCTCAACGGAGGAAGATGGGCACAGTTGAACAACATTGTGTTTTCTCACGTTCCTCCATCTCGTATCGACCCAATACTGGCGTATGTTTCAAACTGCCATCTGTACTTGCCGAGAGTGTCTCTTTTACTGTACATGTTGCGATTGGTACTAATTCTCTCTCTCCGGCCTCTGTAGGATGCCACGACTGGACCGAGCACTCCGGCCTCTCACGCCCCAACCCCACTTTCAACATCGTTCAAAGATGGCGGTTCCAACCATGCCACACCCACATCAGCGACGATAGCCCGGGGCGGAAATAAGAAGAAAAAGAATAACGAAGACGATAGTGAGCACGAGGCAGTCAGCAGCAAGAAGCGGACGAACTTCGGGACGGGCCGCAAGTAGCCGGACGGCCTCCATGGCGGTTCACCTGTCTGTCTGTCTTTGGGGAGTCTTGGTGTTTGAGGCGTTTGGACTTAGAATTTTACTTTGGGGATGGTCCTATCGGGCCGGACCGCTTGGTTACTGCAGAAGGGGGATAATGGCACTATCCTCATCGCGCCCGGGACACTCCCGCCAGGCTCGCAGCTCTTGATTAACAAAAAATGTATTGGTAAATTTAGTAGTTGCGTGGGTACTGGAAAACGGGGGGAAAGAGCACAGAGTTTTGATAAAATACATCCGACGCGCCATGCCCTTATCTCATTGCTAAAGTAACGCGAAATGAAAACGTTTCGAAAAAAGAAAATGACAAAATGGGGCAATGCTGTCTATGCCCCTCGGCTGACGTTAGATACTTTCGCCAACCATGGCTCTCGGTCTTTTCCGCGGCGGGCAAGATAGCACGTTTCCTCCCCATTCCACTGTTCATAAGTGAAACGATGGACCGATTCAACCAACAAGCACAGAGCACTTGTGGATGCTTCCCTCAATTGGCCCATCATGATTGCTGGCTGCGGGTGTTTCGCTTGGTTACCTCACCCTTACCGGTATCGGCACCTGTCGCCGCGCCCTGTGCCGACTTCTCCTTGGAAGGCTTGCCTCCATCTGCCTTCTTGGGAGCCGGGGCCGCGGGGCCTTGCTTGGCGACGTTGATAATAACAGCGATAAGGCCGAGAACAACGGCCAAAAGGCCTCCAGCTGCCTCGGGAACGAACTGGATAGCCTGAATAGGATCCTTCTTGGCAAGGGTGACGAAGAGACTAATCTTCTCCTTAACATAGGTGACCGGGTCGTCGGTGAACTTGAGGTCAAGGGGAGATTCGGGCTTGGGATCTTCCTTTGGCTTCTGGGCCTCCTCCACAAGTTTCTCGGCGTCACGCTTCGGCTTCCAGGCCTCGTCAGCAAGCTTCTGGGCGTCCTCTACAGAGTGGCCGATGTAAATATTGTCAAACAAGATGTCCTTCTGCATCGTCCAAATCTCGAAGCCGATCTGAATAGAAAGAAATTGTGTGTTAGTACGTAACCGCCCATGGGCAGATGAATATTGTCAAGGCAAAAAAAAAAAAAAAAAAAAAAAAAAAAAACTTACAGCACCCATGGGCTCAAAATTGGCAGGAGTCTTGTCTTCGAAGTAGTCCGGGTTCTTGATCTTTCGTGGGGCCCAGGGTCCCTTGTACGCGGGGTTATCGATCATGGGGGCAGACCATTTACCCTTGAACTCTGGGTTCTTCATCATGGGCTTAGTCCACGGGCCACAACCGGAGACCTCGGAGCACTTGGGGTTGGGGACAGTTGGGGGAATCCAGTCACCATCCTCCTCATCGTCCCAGTCCTCTGGCTTCTCAGCCTCGGGATCGGGAATGGAGGTGGGCTCGTTCTCGAGCCAGTCCTCGGGCTGGGTGGCCTCCTCGTCCACAATTTCGTAGGGGGCGTCCTCATCCCAGTCCTCCGGCTTCTCAGCATCAGGGTCGGGAATGCGAGCCTCATCAACCCAGTCTTCGGGCTTCGTATCGGAAGGATCGTCAATCTCCACGGGGGGGTTGACGGAGGGTTGGAAGTCAGTAAGGAGACTGCCCGACTTGACCTCTTCGCCGTTCTGCTTGACAACATAGGTGTTGTTCGGGTGGACAATGAGCGTGTAGAGTTCCGTGGTCTTGACGATCTTGGCAGTGGGAGGGGTGACCAGGTGCTTCTCCTCGTACTCGCCAGTCTTGGGATTCTTATGGTTGAAAATGAAGTGGACCTTGTTAGTGTGGCCACACTTGTCCGGGCCAAACATGATGACGTATGGCGTGGTGTTGGAGAACTCCTCCTGATGTAGAGCATTGTTCTCACGGAGGAGTTTTAGATAAGCGCCTCCACACTCCAGACCGTCTGCAATGAAACTTGGGTTAGGCAATCTGTTTTTGGACAACGGGTGGCATGCCGTGCTACAGAATAGACTTGGACTTACTCTGGAGCTTGACTTCGTATTGAACGACGAGCGTCTTGCCCTTGTTATCAATGGTCTTGGGGAACTTCGCCGAAATTGCATGATGGGCGGCGGCGTTCTTGACAACGAGTCCCTTGTCGCCTTCCATACCCTTGAAGACGGTGGGCTCCTCGACTGCCCACTCGCCGACGTAGGCCCACTGCTCTTCCTCGTTTCCCTTCGTCTCCTTCTTGGCGTGGGATGGCTTCCATCGAGCGTCCCAACCGTCGGTAAACTGTTCCAAGAAATCGGCCTTGATCGACGCAGGCTGGGAGAGGTCGAGTCGTTAGCACTTCGATTCAAAGATGACAATCCCAAGAAGAAAAAATTGAAGGGGAGAACACAAGAATGACAGTTAAAGTTAGGGTGCAAGATCAGATACCGTGGAAACTTACTGTAAAGGTAGGAAGGTTGACCGAGACAGAGGAAGCCTCCTCTGGGGAAGTGCCATCGTCAGCATTGGCAGTGCCAGCAAGAAGTGCTGCAGTCACTGCCGTCGCAACAGAGTTGAGCTTCATTGTGATTTGACGTTTGATGTAACTGAGGGAACTCGGACTGCAGGGAAAACTAGGAGAAATCTACTCCAAGGAGAAGAGAAGGAAACTAGGCCAGTTGGAAGATTCCAGGACAAATGTGGTCAAATGCCAACAATTGGAGAGGAATAGGGCGAGACAAGGAGAAGGGAAGGTGCTTTAGCACTCTGCTGAAAAAAGTTGGAAGTTCCTACCAGGAGGAATTGTTGTAGGGGAGGAAAGGGATTTGTAGTGGTGGTGATGGGCCAGGGGATTTTCTACTTGAAGTGTGGAGCTTTGAGGTGAGTGAATGTCAATGGTGAACGTGTCCTTTTTTTTCTAGGCCCGGAATGTTGCCAGCTGGGTAAAGTTGGAGAGCTCAAGTAATAATTATGAGAGTTCTACGCCTTGCTTTGCTCCAATTGTTCTTTGTAGGGGTTGAGCTTGGGGGACTGCGGGGTGGCTGGTTCCAAGTAATAAGCTGCTAATACTTTGTTTGTAACATGAAGTCAAAGCTGTCAACATCAACCATTTTCTTCGACCCCTGATGTTGGAGATGGCGACCTGTGGATTGAGGGACGGTTTGATTGGCTAAGGCCACGTGTATCAATTGGGTCAGTAACACTGAGAAGTACCGATGGGGATAGCTCCATCCGAAATACTTCGTACTTGCAGATAAACGAGGAATAGCCGGCAAAATCCATCAACAAAGCTAGCTCCAGCATTCCAAGTCTAGAATCTACTTCGTAGATTGATTGATTGATGCCTCCATTGTCCCGTAGATGGAATCTGTTCGAAACTTGGGGACGTAATGCTTACTTCGTAGTTCCGTTTGGAGGCTGGGATGATTAAGTATTGAGCAGGCCCGGCCCACATCAATACTTCGTCCTGAGTGCTGCCACTTATCCTACGACCTGACCTGCGACTACAGCCTGCAACCTGCGACGCTCCGTCTTCTGTTTATTATTATGGAATGCCGAGACTTGCTATGAACCCGTAACATTTTGGCACTGTCTCGCAAGTTTGGTGCTTCGATAGAATTCATGCTATAAGTTTCCAAGCGTCTCTGACTGCCGCGCTCTTGGTCTACGTGTAGTTCTTGTTCTTGACACACACACACACACACATACTAAAGGTCAGCGTGTGGATTTTGTATTGTGCCTTCTCCCAGGCTGTTGGGACTTGGTCAGAATTGACAGGCTTTCTCCTATCCTCTCCGCCATCAACATCTGAAATACTGCGTGTGACCAACTTCACTTTTTCTATTTTCTTCCTTCTCCCGCCGGCGCCATAGGGGACTCTTCCTAGGAACGGATGCTGGGGGCCGGTGCGCGGCGGAGGTCGCTGGAGTGTGAACAAGCGATTATGCTGGACAAGTGTGAAGTAACAGGAAGTCGAACTTGCCAGAAGACATTTCTAAAGTCAGACGAACATCCAACATGGCTATCGGTGACGCTTGACAGAGCATCGCATCTCCGGTGATAACTTTCAAGTCCGGCGAAGGAAAAGTTTGGGGGCATGGGGGAAAGGGTGGGAACCCCCAAGGGGTAACAAGCTACAGCGGTTGAAGTGCGACGAACATGTTCTTAGGAGGCGGATCAAGAGAAGACTTGCAGTAACGACGACACTGGTATCGACCATCCGATTCAAACGGCGTTGATGAATCTGCTGTACTACGGACCGCGGCTGGAAGTGGTAAAAGTATGGGGTCATGGGGGGAAAGGGGGGGAACCCCCAAGGGTTAACAAGCTACAGCGGAGAGCTCACGGTTCACGTCACATACGCAGGAGCATCATCTCGAGCGTCAACGAGGTAGAAGTGAATTGGATCCCGTTGATATAGTAATTATTACCACGTAACCGCACTGCCGACACTAACGACCCGTGGACGTTCAGTATTTGAATGGTATCATGACGCTATCGATTACTCCCGAACATGCCCACCAATGGGATGCCAATTACCCAATAAAATACACTCGACTCTTCGATATCCTAGGGAGGGCGTTTAGAGCGTCAGGGCGGCAGCCAGAAGACCGAAGAGGCCAAGCGAGGAGGAAACGGCAAGGCCGGAAGCGGCGCCGGGCGACTCGGTGGCAGAGGCCGAGGAACCAGTTCCGGTGGCGGAGCCAGATTCCGAACTGTCACCATTCGAGTTGTCGCTTGAACCCGAACCAGAGCCCGAGCTGGAGCCGGAGCCGGAGCTGGATCCCGCACCAGCCTGGTTGGGAGTGCCGATCTCGGGATCGTAGTCTGAGTGATGCGAGATTAGCAGCCGGGCAGACTTGACTTGACAAAGCCGGATGATGGCTACTCACAGTTCTCAAGAACACACTTCTGGAGGCAGTTGCTGTAGGCAAGGGTGGCGCTCTCGCTTCCGTCGCCCTGGTCACACTTGGCAGCGCAATCATGGAGCTTGTTAAGGTTGTCTTCGTTGGGGCTCGGGACCTAGTTTATTCGATGCGAAATCAGACATCGAGTCGGCCTGTATAGATTGCGGCAGGGGGACCTTTACATACGGGAGTGCAGTGAGCGAGGCAGTTCACATCGGTAGCAGGACAGCTGTTGATACACTTCTGCTGCTCGGCCGTGAGGCCAGAGGTAGCAGCAGCGCTCTCAGCACTGGTGGTGGCGTCCTGGGCATGAACAACAGCGGCCAGGATGCTGGCAATGACGACCGGAGTGAAACGCATGTTGACGATGGAATTATGGAATCTTGATTATAATAAAAGCTATTACGCGGATGGATGGGAATGAGCGAATGGACAAGTTGGTTTGTGAACGAGTGAATGGGTGTCTCTTGGTGGTGGAAAGGTTGGAGGACAGTCTGGGACCTGAACCGGTGGCTCCCTCCTCTTTAATACGACCCAAAAAACAAAACAGGGTCGCGCACCCTACATACAGGTTGCTAGTACAAGTAGTAATAGTTTACATGGGACGCGGAACGGACATGGCACAGCGTCTTGGTAAAGTCTCGTGTCCGAGTGGCGCTACTTCCTTTGTTGGCGAAGGACGTGAGTAGCGCCCCTGCATTGTTGTTGTCCGTGACCGCACAATGGGGCCGAACGCCCAAAGAAGTACCGCCTGGGCAGTATTAACGACGTCCCGGTTTCCCTTCGCTTAAGCTGCCGCGGGCGATATTTTCCAACCCTCCCAAGTACGCTCTTTGCGCTCTTCATTCTTCACTACCCCTCGCACTCCGAAATATGATCCGGAGAAGAAGAGAGTTGATTTACCCATGGTGGCATCAAACTCATCCAAGTACCGAGGTACTGCTACGAGGAAACAAAAAATTACACACCGTGTGCAACCCCAAACCGTACGTACTTGTACATTTCATAGCGCATGGTACATGCCTGTGAGGGTCAAGGATTCTAGCCAGGATGTCGACGACATGCAGCTGAAATGGATAGGGGCCAGTAATACCCAATCGATAGCACCCAACTGCTACTGACCAACGATTAATATTCCAATGTCATCTCCGCATCGTGCGTGCCCTGCAGTGGATGGGAGGGTGGCGGTTGTCCCGCTCCCGCACGATCGATGCGCCCCTACTAGGTCTCAGCTGATACTGGACAGCACAGACTAGTACACTCGTACCTGGAGATAATTAAACTGCACGGCGCTACCTGTGTACAACGAGCGCTGGTCCAAATCTAGCGTTGGTGGCGGTGGCATAGAAGTATTAACCAAGGTAGGAGTACGAACCACGAAGCCACGAAGAACCTTCCAGTACTTGTCCTACTCTGGGCTTTCTACGTTATTTCAAACGTCGATGGCAGCAATTATTTTATTTTATTTATTATATTTTTTTTTCGTCTATTCATGTCTAGAAACTAGTAAGTATGTATTCTGTGTACCGAGGGAGGGTGGGAGATTTCCCAGGATCTTTGCATCGTTGCCCTTCATATTCCTGAAAAGCTCTAAGACATTCCCGAAATATTTATACAAGCATGTACATTTGATGTATAGCAACACAAAAATTACCGGAGTGGGTTTAGTGTGTTGCTGCACATCTGCGGACCAAGATTGATACTCAGGAACCACGAAGTACAGTTACTTCTACGCTACACTTGTCCTCGTATTCTCTCGCCTGGCAAAAGATGGACATGAGGAACCTGGATCAAATGCAAGGTTGATTTGTTGTCTGGGGTGGTTCGGTCTCGGTATAATTAGGCGTTATGCATAACCTCACTGACGATCAGTCTTTGACGAAGTACGAAGTACTTGGATTTTGGACATCCTCCCCATTGTATACTGACACGACTACGGACATTTGTGAAAGCTCAATGTGCCATTTTTCCCCTGATGATGTGTACAAGTACTCTTGGCGGCAACAGGGAGCATCTGTTGGAATAAAGAAACAATAGATTTAGCTCTAATTTCGGACATCCACTACCTGTGTAAAGAGTGGCATTGCGCTCATTTTTTGGCGTAGTGGGCTAAATCCAACAGCATCCCGCGATTGGGTATCAATACCTGGAGATGCTAGTCTCGTATTGGACCTGAGTTGATATGTACGAAGTCGGCGAACAAACCCAATATCAATCCATATTTCCAACAAGTTCAGACAAATCACTACACCAATACAAACGTGCTCCTCGTACACAGGTACGGTACTACAAGGATGTCGAAATAGTGGCAAGTCCGTCTGCAATCGAAGTAGGAGCAAACGACTCTCTCAGGCAAACCAGACAGAGAATGAGGAACGTGGAATTGTACATCAAAGACTTCAATGTTGTTGTCTCCATCTCCAAACGAAATCAGTACGAAGTACAATGGTAATTTGGTGGCTTGATTAAGAAACTCTCTGGTGCAAGAGAGAACCGCGCTGGTTTTATGGGTGCCAAGATGTTTGCAATCCAGTTGATAATAAATAATACTCGTCACCTGCATCCGACAAAGGAGCGGTGATCTCCGTCAAAATTTCTCAGACTTGAGGTTAATATAGTTCTCTCTCAATACTCTTAAATCTCGTACTGTTTTGGGCTTGAAGATTCCCTTTTTTATTTTTATTTATATATATATATATATATTTTTTTTTTATTTATTTTTTATTTCTTTCAATTAAGCTGATTGAATGGAAAATACACTTCGACAACTCGCGGACAACCGGTCGTCCTATCTAGATAAATTCTATCTCGCCTCCCCGCCATAACTTACAACAGTGAACAGAAGAGCTTGTGACCGAGAAGGACAAAGCCTGCGTCAACAACGTTCCCTCTTTTCCTCTTCATGATATCGAGGACGAGAACAACTAGCGGTCTCGGCTTTCTTGCATCACAAGACTTCTCCTATGATTTTTGCTGCCTCGCGGTAGGTTTGAAGAAGGCTCTCACACTTCTCCCGCTCCTTCTTTACACCATCATCTTCATATAATAACTCTTCAAATAGGCTCTCCTTATACAACTCGCTTACCAGCCTGTTCTGAACTACGTCTTTGCAGTGGTTCACGAGAAGATGCATGACCGCCTTTGGGACCTGGTCTGCAATGGACTCTCGCACAATATTGAAGTAGGAAGAAATAAGAGCGCGGATTAAATCCGTTTCCATCGCTTCTCGATCAGTGAGGGCCGGTTCCACCCCGGAATTCTATAGAACGGGTTAGAGAGTAGTTTGAGGTAGAAAGGGGATCGAACACCTACAGCTTGGGCTGGAAGGTCACCGAAACGCGAATGTTTGAGACCATCGCCATCCTCCTCGCGAACTGGCCGCGCGATGGACTTGTCCTCGAGGCGGCGAATGCTTTGGCTAATGCTCGGCTCCGAGTTCTGGCTGACATGTCGAGTGGCGACAGTGTGCGTTGCCTGCTGTTGGGAAACACCGTCTTTGCCGAAGAAATAGTTCAAGAACGAGTCGCGGGTGTTTCCAAGGCCCTGGCTGTTGAATCGAGACGGTGAAGCTGGGCGATGCCCATTCACCGCCGACGCAATTCCAGCAGAACCGGGATTGTCTCGAACACTGGGTGACATGCTCCGTAAACCCCTTGCCTGCGTTTTCCTGAGGCTTGCAACGTCACCTCGTTCGGCGAGAGGAGTGTCTTCATCGTCCTCAGGGGCTTCAGTTCCGTTCGTCCCTAGCTCTTTCAGCCGCCTCTTTTCGCGACGTTCTCTCTCCTCCTGGACCAGCCGCCTCCGCTCTTTATCCTGTCGGCTCGTGACAACTTGACCCATAGCGGCTGCGGCTCCCAGGAAATTGGGGTGGTTTGTGTTGATGTACGCGCGCTGGATGGATATAAGAGACTCCACGTACGATGAGGCGGGCCCCAATCTCTCCCGAAGCAGATCCGACACCACTTCAATCAGCTTAGCCTGCAGTCTGGGAAATCGAGAAAGTTCAGTTGAGCCGCATGTATGACAGATTTTGATCAACTCCTCATACACGAGCTCCACGCAACGCTGACTGGGGATCTCAAGCAACTTGATTTGTGGCTTAACTAGAAGGTCAAAAGCCATCTCGGGCACGAAAAGGCTCGGCCGTGGTCCAGTCGAATTGCGAATGGCAGTCCGAATGTCGAGAGCCGAGAGATTTGACGTTGGGTCAATAGACTCGAGTGAACTCCCAAAGACCGAGTTAAAGATGTAGTAGATCCTGGCTCCGCCGCAAAGCTCCTTGGTTGAGATGTCCGTCGAAGTACCATCGATGGATGAGATAAAGGAAGTAGCGAAACGAGTCATCAATTGCAGTATCAACGATCCGCGATGTTCCTTGCCGCTGAAATGCATGTCACCATAGCTGGCAAGCTCCTGCTGCGTTTGCCCCATTAATGTGTTAAGCCTAGCCTTGATGTCGGGGAGTCGCTCCCTAATATGCGCCATTAGCGTAGTGTTCAGCGTTTTTGCTAGAAACTGGGTTCCGCAACGGGTCGCGATATTTCGATATGCAGGATGATGGCGGAAAAATTCCGCCTCGGCCTTGAGTGCCTCATCCATAGGTTTATTGCCCTGGATGTCTTGTTGCGATCGATTGACGACACCGATAAAGCCTAGCTTGAGCGGGTATACACGACCGGATAAGATATCCAAAGCATTGGTCCCGTGGTCCATCAGATCGACTTTGGTCAGGACACCGATCGTACGCCTTCCAAGGGGGTCGACATGTCTGGCAAGCTTCAGAGCCTCTGAGTTCACTATGTCGACATTTGCAGGGGAAACAGCGAGGACAATACTATTCGGTTTGGCGATATATTCCGAGATGAGATTGCGGGTCTGCTTCTCGATATCCGTCGGCTGGTCGCCGATAGGAACCTAGACGTACACATACGGTGTTAGAGAGGCCGGCGATTGAGAATGACACACGATCAGCATGTTAATCGGTTCAGTAGAGGGACAATACCTTCGTTAACCCGGGTAAATCCACTAGCGTGAGGTTCAGGACATGAGGAGAGTAAATTTTCAAGTTTATCGGCTGTCTGTTGATGCCTTTATTCGTCCCGGCAACGCGTGATGTTTCGCTTTCGATCTCGCGCTTCACGTCGGCGAAATCCGTGAATCTTCGGTTTGGGATATGATGGAATTCTGCCCACTCGGATCGACGCGCCGCCGAAGGGGAACGGTAAGGGTCGAGGGGAGCATCCGGTTGGGATTCATCGTCGGGGACATTGATGAGCTGCAGAATCAAAGGCCTTCGCGTTACGATACCACTGCCACGTGGTAGGAAATCGCGTCCAACGATATTCTCTAGAACAGACGACTTCCCAGCAGACTGAGAACCAACTACAACCTGCAAGCTGTTAGAAGAGAGTACGGGGTATCGGGATCAACTTCGGCGTACAATCTGCGGCAGGTCTAGCGAGTCGCTGCCGATGGTGTTGAAAACCAAGTCTTGCAGCTTATTGACAATGCCGAGGAGATCCTCGCCCAGGGCAGCCATGGTGCTAAAATCGAAATTTCTTGATGAATCGGAGGGATCAAAGACGACGGCTCGAGTTTTCGAATAATAAGAAGGAAAAAAATAAGGCCGCAAAAGGTATCAGAGAACCCGTGAGCAACCTAAAGTCACCTAGGGCACAAGAAAGCAGTATCTAGGCTGTGAGCCTATCATTAGCCTCTAGTCCTCTGGAAGAGACGTGGTCGTGGCGATTGTGACTTTTCAAGGCTTGGGGATGGTAGAAAAAGAATCACCCATCAATACAATCCACGCAATGCATAACCTTTCTTCAAGAAACGCGTTGTGCATGCACCGAAAATGGAATAGCCTCGATAATCGATAATACTATCTTGTCACGCTCTTCAAACCTCGGTTGAATACCATTTCTCTCAAAAGGAACAAATTCTACTCATACTCGATATAGTCATAGTATATGGTCCGATTTCATCAATTTACCCATCAACGATCATCCATCCCCATGAACGCAGACTTTCCTTTTCTTAGGCCCCGATATCAGCAAATTCAAGAAGTAGTGTAGTACAGTTGGCGCTGAAGTAGCATTTGAAGTCGGGTGATGTACTTCGTAAATCTAGACGCATTTGGATTGGGATTGGTAGAGCCAACTTGACTTTTGAACTCTGTCTCCCTTTCACCCTTACCTTTCTCCCTCAAGCCTCTTTCTGAAGATAGTTTACCAAAACGTTTCGTACATTCGATCGATTTTCGAAGTTAGTCAATGCTGTCCCCATCCCCCTCAACGCATATTTTTTTCTATGAGCATCCGGGGGGTACATACTTAACAGGGATGGCTGGTGCCCATTCCACCCGTCCGCATATCCTGACATGAAACTAATTCTACAAAATCATGCAGGTTCAATATCTCCAAGTACAAAGCCCGAAGTATTCCAAGCCCTTAGCTATTATCCAGATCACGGAGATTGGTTCTAGCATTGGTTGAGCTTGTTGTAATCAAACATTCGTTCCAGTTGGACAATTGTATCGTCAACCGAGACAATGAGCTCCTTCGGAGGTCCCGGGAGCAAGCCGGCCACAAAGCCAACTCCGTAAGTCTCGAATGAGCCTCATTTCTACTCTTCTCAGCTGATGCCGAATTCACCACACCAGCCCTCAAAGGGGGAGCTTTCCTCTTGATCATGATGGTGAGCCTCCGCCAATTCCTGACTTACATTCCGCGCAGTTCTGGGCTTCGTAGCTCATCAATGTAGGCGAATGCAAGGATGTCATGACAACATACCTCACTTGTATCAATAAGGTCGGTGGTGTGAACAAGCCTGAGTGCCGCGACCTCGCGAAGGCGTACCTCGCTTGCCGCATGGATCGGTACGTGCCAGGTGTTGGAGCGGATGTTAATCCCGTCATGCTCGCTAATGTTACCTAGAAACTTGATGGCTCGAGATGACTTCAAAAACTTGGGCTTTCAACCCGACTTGAACCAGAAGCAAACGTCCTCGACAAAGGATGGCCCAAAAGACGGCGAGGGTGGAGCGCCAGGAGAACTACGATGGTAATGCCTTCAGATTCCAGATAAGAAAATTTCCACTCGTTTTTTTTTTCCTCTTTTTTTTTTCGTTTTTTTTTTTAAAGGCTGCAAGTTTTGCAGGACATTTCAAACGCCAACGACGACCAGAGTCCCTGTTTTAAGGTGACCAGTCAATCAATCCCCTGTATTTGTACGTTGTAATATTATTGGATGCCGGTTGGAATGATATTGTTGCAAGAACCAGCAGCGGTTGCCCAGTCAACGCCTCATTGGAATAAACATATTGCCACGCCGAATCAAAAAGATTCGATCAGTCCAGTGTTATTCAGGCCTTCAACGCCCAAGTGACAACACACCTTTAAGAGATGTAATATTTAGACAAGACTTCCCACCTCATATTACTCTAGTGAATACCTAGAAAATACAACACCTTCGCCACCCAATGTTCATCAGGCTCATCAGGGCATTCTGATATTGAAGAATTACGAGAACCGTTCAGTTGCCTCTCGATTACCCTTGCCTCTCACACACTGTCTCTCGCTCGCTCGCTCGATATCCACGCGCAGGGGCTGCAAACCATTTGGTGCCCGACACCCGTCCATGATTCACAGGATTATTAAATCCGCAGAATAATGAGACGAGACCAAACCATGGCATCCTTCACCCATGGACGGACGAGAGGGGGAGGTCGGAAAGTGACGCCACCATCTCCTACGTATATGACTAATGATCAATTTGGTGAGGCATGGAAACTGTACCGTTCAAGTTGGCTCTAGTAACCTAACCTTTAGTTGGCAATCTAGCATCGTATCTAGCCGATCTTCGCAGGCATAGGAACAGTCGGCAGTCCACTTCTCGAGAGTTTCCGGCTCATGATGAAAGACCCAGGGAACGGCATGGTACTGATCAAGGGGACCCGGGCATTGCCAGGGGACAAGGGCCACCATCTTCGAGACAAACGCCTGTTCTACCTGCTCCCTCTTCAAGTATTCGGTCTCGATACTCTATCGGGCCTAATGCTCGAGACTACTATCCAACTACGCCGGCCGCACCTCTCAAGCCCTCGGACGTAGTCCCAACATCAACATATATGGAAAGGGGACATCGGTGGATGGAGAAGGAGGAAGCCTGCTCTCTGCGACAGGCTATGGAAGATATGGAGTTGAAGGACCAGAATCTATCTAAGGCTAGCAGCCCCTCGGATGATCAACGTATCTATGAGGCCGCCCTGAACGAGGCATCTGAGCTAGTCTGGCAGCATCAACATCCGGGAGCCTCGAACCCGACAGGACCGTACCGATACCGACCACACCTGAGGAAGAACAGCTACGCGCATGCACGCACCGCGAGTGTGGGAATGTACGGTGATGAGATTGTCGCCACCGGGCTGGCAAGGGATACGCCGCGCTCAGTATCTGGAAGCTCCGCCGAGAGCGCAGCCAGTCTGCCGTTAACCAAACAACGAAACCCAAATGCAGGGATTCCGGAAGGCATCGCCCCCGCGAGACGTGACGGGCACCTGGGCCAAGGGTCTCATCGCAGTGGTTCAAAGCGCAATATCAGTGGTGAAATTGGAAACCCCTTCTCTGTTGATCAGATATGGGAGGAGCCTGAGGCAGTATACGCTACACGACGTGAGAGGACGGGGGTTGCACCGCCGGTGCTTGGCACCAGAACCGACAATCCTCTGAAGCCAGCATCTTTTTTTCCCCAGAAGCCAAGCGCCCAGGTCGTTTCTGCAATTAATATTCACCTCAACCCACCATCTCGTTCAAGAGATCCACAGTATACCACGAATACTACGGTACCCAAACAATTCTCAGCGGAGGATGAACGGAGGCTTCATGGCGTCGAAATACGCGGCGATGACATACGTCAGGCAACAAGTATGAGACTCGGAGATCGAAGTGAGAAGCTACCGACACCTACAGCTGTTAGCGATGATCCGACCCGCCCAATTGTTAGCTTCGATACACGCTGGTCTCCAGCAGACCAATGCAGTAATGGTGGCCAACGAAACTCACGGAACATGAGCACTCCGTCTCCCGCAACCCTTCAAGCCGATCCAAGGGCATCAACAAATTTGCCTGCTAGACCTCCAATACCAACTATCTCTCTCAATGACGAAGAACGACGATATGAGGAAACAATTCCCAAAATCCAGGTACCTGCCCTCCACACACCCTCTATTACCGTCGATGATTCGGCAGAGGGAGACGGGCCACCCATTATCGTAGTAGGTGGTGAAGGCCATGGTACCCGGCCACTCCCCACTCCAGGAGCTTCCGCAAGAAGGCCTCGGTGCCCTCGGCCGCCGATCACCCAAGGCAAAGGCTCTGCCTTGTGCCACGAATGCGGGCATCATCTCCAAGGCCGGTTTGTGGCATTGGCAGGCTCGGCTGAAAAATTTCACCCACAGTGTCTCACTTGTTTTTCTTGTGGTACAAGTCTTGAGGCTCTCGAGATAAGCCCAGAGCCCGACTCCTTCCGTAGGGAGCGTCTGGAACGGATCAACCGTCGGATGGCTGGTGAGATTCTCGAGGAGGCTCCTGGAAAGACCATGGCTGAGGATGGAGACGATCGCCTTCGGTTCTACTGCCACTTAGATTGGCATGAACTATTTGCGCCAAAGTGCAAGCATTGCAAAACTCCTATTTTAGGAGAACATATTGTCGCCCTCGGGGAACATTGGCACTATGGACATTTCTTCTGCGCCGAATGCGGAGACCCTTTTGAGCACGGAATGACTCACATCGAAAAGGACGGCTACGCCTGGTGCATCAGCTGCCAGACTAAACGGACAGAGCGGAGAGCCCCGAAATGCAGAAAGTGCAAGCTTGCTGTGGTCGGCCAGTACGTTCAAGCGCTCGGAAGTGAGTGGCACGAGACTTGCTTTTTGTGCGCCCACTGTGAGGGAACGTTTGATGACGGGCAAATCTTTCCCAAAGAGAACACGGACGGGACTGTTATTGTCCTATGCACAAGCTGTAGGGCAAGCGAGCTGAAGCAGTGATGGTGTTGGGATGGACACGCGATAGGCCTTCGGAATCACGAGAAAATTGAATGCTATGAATGTTTAGATGTTTTACATTGCAAAACGGGCCTCCAGCGCCTTCGTAATAAGTGCCCTCCCGAGATATCTAGAGCCGTTTGCGAGTTGCATTTCCTGCGGCCACTTCCACTAGCCGCCACAACGGTAAAATGTGCGCCGCGTCCCAGCACTTTCGCAAGCGTCAAGTCTGCCCGCACAAGCCTTCTCCCGCCATGGTACCATATGTTGATGCGTATTATGTGCTTAGGGGGCCTCAAGGCAGGCCATTACCGCCAACCTGTTCCTGATGAACCTCGAGAGTGTCTCCGTCTTGCATTTCGAGCTGTGAATGAGTTAGCTATCATTTTCACGGACAGAAGAGTTGGCGGAGAAGATATACGGTATCTGGGGTATCCGTCGGCTGAACCCGCTGGCCCTCGAAGAGAAAACGGACGGAAGCCATGTTCTTGCCCTGCCTATCGCAGAACGCGCTCATGAGCTTCTCTAGCTTAGTGCTGCGCTTAATTTTGAAGAACACTTCGTTATTGTTGTCTGTCACTTTTATATTCAGATGCTCGGATACGGGAGGAGCATCCGCAGCGTTTCCGTTGTTCTCGTGCTCCGACATTGTTTGTGTTGAAGATGATGGAGATCAGTCGCCTGTAGTGGGGAGGGAAGCTGTTAGCCTAGAGATTTGGACTGGGGTGATATCTGAGAAATGAGAAGAGTACATACGTTCAAAAGGGTTGAAAAATAATGGTCGCGGAGACTTCTCTAACTGCGGCTCGGCGCGAAATTGACGGAGAAAGGGTTGCGCTTGAATAATAAAATGACTGCTGATGTCCGCTGTATTGTGGAAATCTCGCGTCCCGAGGTGCTTTCTACGATTTGAAGTCAGAGAGTTGCCCCGCGTTAGACCAAGACACAGCCAAAGGAAAAGGGAAGTGACATAATCAGAGCCTGGGCGGAGCAAGCTGGAACAGGACCGGAGCTGACTTCTCTTCAATATGCAATTATGCGTGCCTCACGCCTGGAACTATCTAGGGAGGAGGTGAGTGCAAAGCTTGATTGATATCCATCCAGGCATCTATGGCTTTGTCGTTCTGCTTGAACTCAGAGTCTCGTACGTACAAATACCTACAAACACCTACCAGAACCATCCGTTTTCTTCTCTTTACCTTTCTTGTCCTTTTCTTCTTCTTTTTTCTGCTCGTTTTGCCCTACTAAATTCGAAGTGCAAACGAACCCGCTCGATATCCCCTCGATCCGTCAAGAGGTGCCAAAGGAAATGTACGTTCCCAGGAGTCCATGTCGCAAGTCTAACTACGAAATATGGCATTGACTAAAGATACTCTTGGTCCGAATTCAAGATCATGGCCGCGAGCCAATCCCAGGGAAAGAGCCCGCCATGTCAAGCTCAAGCTGTGAGTGGTAGTTGCTGTAATGAACTATGTACTTCAGTTAACAAAATCCTACGAAACACCAGTGTGCCATTCAGTGTATGTTTCGAGTTAAACGGCCTTGAAGGTCGACTTTTCAGTTCTATTTTTGTCTGTTCTTTTTGTTTTATTCGCATGATCGGACACTCATCGAGCATCTTCCAGCCTGCCTGAGCCGGAATGGGTTTAATGAGGCACGGTGCCAGGATATTATTTCCGATCTCTACGAGTGTTGCGAGAAGTTCTACAACGTGAATGGCGATGACGCCACGTCACCGAGCTGCCCAAAGCCAAGCGCACTCGAGATAAAATTACGTTTGATGAGAGAAACGAGGCAAAAATAGAAAGAGGCTCCGAATGAGCTGAGGCATATAGCACTATTCCGTAGAGACGTCTGCCAGCAAGTATATCCTTGGCAACATTATAGGAAAGTGCCAGCGTTTTCTTATAGGCGATCATTGAGCACGCAAGAGATTCTTCTGAATCTGAACAAGTATTGAGGAGCCTGTTCCGGGACTCTAATATGAATGCCATAGACATAATTGAGGGAAAAGAGAAAGGTTAAATTCGGCATTGGGATAGAATCATTTTTAAGCTCCCGTTATTGCTTGATTAGGTAATTAAGAATTGAGCTCCATGAAAATTGAAACGCAATTTGCTCCAATCCCGCTGCCCTCTGTATTGCTGTATGCAGAAATATTATTGACCAGTAGCAAATCGCTGCTGTCAGCGTCAGTTCTTCGCATGCTCGGTAAGTTTATCAACACGCGTCTGGGTGTGACAGTCCATTCTTGTAAGGTCACCCACCACCTCGAACTCCTTCAGTGCAGCCACCTTGTGCCAACGTCCGAATTACTTTCTCATTAATTGATTTGCTTAGTCGACTTAGACGAGCTTTCTTCCTGCCTTCCTCTAATTCTGTTGTATCCAGAAGCAAGGCACGGATACACCGCAAAGCGACCACGAAAGAACAGGAAAAATTCCTAGCCTCTCCTCGAAGCAAGGCTCGACCCCGTATCGAGAGCCTTCGCTTGATCAAAATTTCTCGCGCTGCCGCATATCACCCAAATACCATGCGCGATGCCATAGCGCAGCCCGACATGGATGATGCATCAACCCTCTCTCAAAAGTCGGAGCAGGCGCAGGTGCTCCCAGCTCGACCAGAGATAGAGTATTTTGCCAACGCTTTGGATGACTGCCTTGATAACAGGGGCAGTATATCGGAACGACGATCCCGAGTTCTTAAACTTGTCGAGAGCTACTATGAGTATGCATCGAGGCGATACCAGCTCCTTGGCCCGAGGAACGGCTACCACCCCCCGGGCGCTATGCTGAAGGGTGAAGTCAAGATGGATATGGGTAGCCTCCATAGCGAAGATGTGGTTCCGGATCCTAGCCGAGAAGCGGACGCCTGGAAACAAGAAGCACAGATTTGGGACCTCCTGCGCCAACTGTTACCAATAAGATACCCCGACGCCGAGACGTTACCAAGTCGGCCTTCGAGCGTTCGCACTCAGAAGCCAACCCTCTGGAACGAATTTGTCAACAGCACCCCATTGGCAATGGAACGCAAAGCCGTATTACGCTGGCTCCAGGTTATTGCGGCCGATGGACCTGATATCAACGATCTCGTCAAAGACCTCCAAAAAAATGCCGATCGTGGTGACATCATTGCCCACGGATGGATACATACAAGGTCTACGATTAAATTAAGGAAGAGCGTGTTAGCATGGCCACATGTCCTTGACCCTACATCGCCCAATGTCTCCCAGTCCCATGTTAATGCTTCGAAGTCTCCGCTGGTTACACAGCTAGACCCCGATTCTACCACCCGGCAGGGAAGGAACCTCGAGCCACAGGACGAATATTTTGAGCGAGCAATTTGGCTCGGTTGTTTTGAACTTCTTCGAAGAGGTTGTAGCGCAAGGGAAATTGAGGAGTGGTGCCGAGAACGCACAGAAGGATGGCGCGCTGTTTCTATGACGGCCATTCACCTGGGCGACCATGAAGCCAACGCCTCACCGGACCAGCCTCCCGAGGCACTCGCTTTGTGGATGCGTGCCTGCTTGGCGGTCGCACGCCAGGGTCCTCCAGGCCTCTACGAGCGCGCTGTGTATGGCATATTGGGGGGCGATGTCCCCAGCGTGGAAGCTGTTTGCAAGACTTGGGAAGATTTCGTATTTGCACACTATAACTCGTTGTTCCGGAGCCAGTTTGACACTTTTGTCTTGACAAAATGTATGCCAGAAGCAGTGGTCAGCATTTCACAGCAACCAACCCCTTTCCTTGACCCCCCCCAGTACCACGGAGAATCCGGTTCACCTGAAAGACGCTTTCTTCGCTTGCTCGAGTCGAACAATGCCACAATGGTAGCGGCTCGTGACCCTATGAAGGTCCTTCTGGCTTCTACCCTCGCGAAGGACCTTGAGCGATACTTTTTCGACCAGGGGTTTGCCCTGGCACTTCATGCGAATCAGAATATCGAATCCAAACTTATCTTCCCGCACGGTTTTGTTGAGTCAGAGGTCGACACCGATCGATACTTCCGGCTGGATCACCACTGCGGATTACGGGTAGTCTCGCATATCTATATCGTTTTGTCGCTCCTAGAGCAACTGTACCCGCAGTTACGTGCCGTGGTGAGCCAGGACGCCATGAGACGCGACATCCAACAGAACAACATCGTTGCCTACGTCAGTTTGCTGAGACTCTCTGGGCTTTACGAGTTGATTCCCCTCTACTGTTCTACCTTAAGTGAATCAAGGCAATACGATGCGCTCTGCCGTAACCTTATTCACATAGTTGAACCCACCTCCCGGGCCTTGGCAATAAATCTAATTGGAAAGGCTGGCCTGGATAGTCTCAAATTCGTCAAAACACAGGCGGCGCTACGCTTGAACACGCTGGTCAATGACGGCAGCTCCCGCGAGAACCAGACGCTGTTTCGCGTCGTTGGCGACAATACTGATCACAGCCTCAAGTACGGCCGCCTCGTTAGAGCCGACTTTTTCGGTGACGACCCTGATGCAATTCCCATGGCGCACGAATTCTTGATACGAACTGTTGAATGGCTACTTGAAGTAGACCACGCTTGGCCAGATGCTTTGTCCACGGGCACAAAAATTTACAAGTACTTCCTCAGTATGGTCTTCCTCTCTCTACCTGATACTGGCGTAAATTCTAGGCTAACTGATCTTGGCTCGTTTCTAGAAAACACGTTTCTCAATTCGGCTCGGGTATTTGCTCGGAGGATCAGCTTCTCTGGCTTGATCGGCAACCGAACTCAGAATCCCAGTCCTGGCGATCCGGAGCATCCAGATTTCACTGACATTAGCTTCTGGGCGCGACAGCTCAACGCTCTTCCCTCCTTTTCGGGTTCTCCCGCTCAAGTGGCAGCTGATGCTCGGAACTTTCACGACATGGAGGCCTTAGTGAGAGCACTGGATACGATGGAGACCCTTGCATCTCTCGCTCAGCTATCTAGAGAGTACGTACTCATTTTCACTACGTTTATACACTGAGAGTACATCGAATTAATCAACCTGAGGCAGGGATTTGAATACCCCCCGCGATTTCTGGACCGAGGTTGGCGTCGAGGTCAAGGCGCTCAAAGATCATATGGAGCCACTTCTTGGGGGTTGGCTCCTGCCGGGAATACAAGGTAAGCCAGCCTATGTGGTAACGCTTCTCTGTAGAGATCGAGATAGACATGGTGCTTACACGTGGAGAAAGAAGGTGATTCTGAGCTTGCAAACTTGAGGACGAAGTATCTGCCGGAAACTATCCTAGCGTACGTGAGCACATTGCACTTCGCTGGGACATGTCTCTCACGAGACAACCTCCTTGAATGTATGGAATTGGCCGTCGTCGTCGCCGACAAGAACTCAGACATCGCAGCCAGCTTCATCCAAACGCGCCGGATGAAAGAGCTTGTAGAGGCTTTTGCCTCTTGTAGCAAAGCGCTAGCTGTTATTACGGGTGACAAGAAAACGGTGGGGTCTAGCAGTAAAAGGCTAAGAGAGGCGGGCTGGGCACGAGATTTATGGTCCATAACTTCCGCGGCCGCCGGGAGGGACTAGGAGGGATACCGAGTGCTCGGGCGTAGGTTGGTTCGTACCCGCCTCCCAAGGAATGTAGCGAAGAGGGAGCAATGGATCAAATGTTCAGGGCTTGCCAGCTGCTTCCGTCGTTGAGGTCCCAAGACTTGAAACTCGAAAGGCGGACGCGTCTTGTAAGAACAGTGAAGTACTTTGTACAGTTGTATTTACCTTGGTGTAGGTCAATTGGCATGTCACAAATACTTTTTTATATTAACAATTGTGCAAATCCAAGTTGACTGACAAGAGGATTGTGGGTTTATTATGTAATGAAGAGCCGAACACCACTGACGGCTGGTTTAAGCTCTCTGGAAATTTTTACCCAATGACAACAAGGACACTATGGGTGCAACAGCTCATCACCATACTATGAGCAAGGGAGCGCTGGGAGCTCCTGAAATACGAAGACCTGCTCTCCCTCCAGTTCACTTCCATCGGAAAACCTCGTGACGAACGAGCGATTAAGTCCAATATAAAGATGGATTCGTCTCCTCCGGTTCTTCCCCCAAAACCGAACACCAACTTTGAGGGACCCAACGAAAGCTTGCCGATCACTGTAGTGCCGCACTTCACCCCAGCCCTTACGCCGCATCGACCTTCCATCCGTGATGATGACTCCTCCCAAAGCCGTGATCCTGGTGCTGGCTGGATGCCCGCCACATTACAAGATATGCCGTAGGTCAACCCCACGCAGCATATTCATCTGTATCTGATCGCGCTTACATCAGTCGTTTACTTCAGAAAGCAGCAGCTAGCTGCAATTTTGACGGACGACCGTCTTCTGAGAACCGCAACACATGCTCCAGAGACTATCCACCCTTCACTCTCAACATCTTACGAATCTCTCCGCACCGCACTGCTAGAAAACGCCGAGCTCGCGTCTCGGTTAACTGAGCTAGAACTTCGGGTCTCTGCTGAGAGAGACTCGGCACAAGCTCAGTTGTTATCCACCCACGCTCTCGAGAGGCAATGGCGTCAGAAACAGGCGGAATTGGATGGCGTACTTGGTCCATTCTCTCCGGCATCTCTATACCAACGTCTTTCCCACGGTGTCCAGGAGCAAGGGATGGTATGCCACGCACTCGAGGAGAGTTTTATTGAAGGCAGTGGTACCGAAAGTGCAGCCTCCGAGAGGGAGGTGATCGACTGGATAAGGCGATACCGTGAAGCGAAAATTCTCTACTACTCGCGCCAAGAACGAAAAGACCGCTGGGACGAGGGGCGGGTTGGTGGTTGGAGATAGGTCGCGTCACCTTTTCTCAAAGACAAGCAACAAAAGCTATCACAACCCCTTTCCAACGAAGTCTATATCGAAATAAGAGTTTATTCATTGATGCCTTGCCAACCCGACGCCACGCACTCTGCAGCAAGCTCTGGTCTCTCCCGACGGCGGTTAAATATTTATTTCATCGTCCACTACCAGACGCTTCTGTTCCCTCCGCTCCCGGTGCGTAACGACGCGTATGGCCGCAGGCTCACGAGCCCAGCTCTCTCGGCGGCGTCATTGGCGACGCCCTCACGCTCAATATTGACTGTCATGGCCACGCTTTGATCGCCTTTCCCGTTGTCCCGTATATATTAATAGAGACCCAGTCCATACGAGTTTTGGGTGGGAATGGCCTCCATCCCCTTTCGGTTTCTCAGTTGTCGGTAGCGGAGCGGCTACCCTCGCCTACAGGAGGCTGAATGGGCTTCTTTCCATCTCAGGGCTCCGAGGACTTATTGGCAACGCAAAGAGATCTTCTTCATTGTCGTTTTCACAGGCGCCCCCGCGTTTTGTCTCTCCACTTGCAGAAGACCTATCTGCTGCCACCCAGTTCACTCGTGCTCGGTTGCTATTTTCAGCCAACGTTTCAAAGCAAGGCGGCACCGTCATTGAGTCCACAAATGCAGTTATTAGGATGGGTCTATTGTTAGCTTGATCTTGGTCAGCAGCTCTTAAAAGACTTCAGGCATATGTCGACTTACTCCTTGGCACAAGTCCAAGATCCTCCGGAGAAGTTGCCAGTCTTAGCCCTCGCCAATGATCCGTAAGCCGGCTGGTACCTAGTTGCGACTTCGCCGGCGTTGGGGCCACAACTGGCCCCCGAGTTAGCGACGCTGCACAGCCTTCTTCTGTCTCAAAGGAAAAGTGGTCCAGAAGCCAATGCTTCTCCTGGAGTGCCATTTCAAGGCCCACGCCTTCGGTATTTTCTCTCATTTCGGCGCGAATCTCTTCGTCCAGATCTGCTAGACGATTTTTTGCCCATGCCTCGTCTGGTAACGTGATGACCAGTTAGTCGCTGGAAGGGCTTGAACGTTCAAAAATTGGCAGCGCGGGGTCACGGAAATCCTTTTTTTCGGAAGTTTACGTGAACTTACGAAGAACCCCCTTTCTCTCTTTCTGCACCCCGAATTCTTCGGGAAAGATTGCGGGTAATGGGTTTGTTGTGAGGATGAGCCCAGTAGAGTGAGTGATTCGGACGAGTTTTGGAATGCGGGCTCCAGGGGGAAGCAAGAAATACACGCGCTTTCGGACCCTAGCTGCCCTATCACTCGTAGCAAGAGCAGTAGACGTTCCTTGCCATGATACTTCCCAACCATCAACATGTTTGGTTATCCACTGGGGCCCCGCTGCATGACTGACATGCGTCTCCTTCTCGTATGCCCGGCAGTCCAGTCGTTCAGGCCAGGATGTATCCCATTCTACCATCAGCACCTTTGTTCCATTCTCGCTATTGGCAGGTTCGAACTCAATCCGGGACAAGGCAATCATTTCAGGTGGACGCGACGCTTCGATCAAGCCAATCCCGGGGACTACCGGCCCTGGAAACCCAGCGCCATCCCCCTGGACATCCGAGACGGTTTTCATGACGAGAGGAGATTGACAAAGTCGGAAGGCAAAGTCCCTCGACCACTTACATAGTAGATCTGTACTCTAGTTAGACTAGTAATCCCGCACCAAGTTGATCACGGGCGTTTGAAACGTCGTCTAAGAAGACATGGATGAGTATGCGTTGATGGGAGGAAAACCATTAGGTGGGCGCATCCACCAAAAACCACGTTGCTGAAAGGGACGCAAACCACGATAGTGGATTTGGGAATGCTCAAAAATAAGGAATCGAAACAGCCCTACGCCAAGTTCTATTCACGAGTGCGTAGGTCACACGAGGTGTTTTCCCATAATGGCTCTCCAAGTATCCCTAAGCCTGCTGCTGTGGTGTTGCTAGGAACGGCAATTTACATAGACATCCATCAATGTAAATCAAGAAGAGACCCGTAATTTCCATATATGTACACTGAGAGCATGCCGATAAGGACGGCAAATACTAAGCAAGGCATCAAACGCTGGATCACGCCAAACCCAACCTCGTTGATCACGGAGACCACACCTCTACTTCGAAAGAAGTAAATCAATTTAACCAATCTGCCAAAGAAGAGAGGATGCTATTCTTGTGTGTTGTACAACCAGTATACACTAGGTACAGAGCATATCATCCAGGAACTCATCCACGCATTTAGCCCTATAGGTCGTGCGAGTTCCGGGATGGCTCCATGAGTTTCAAATCAAGAGCAAGAATAAACTCTCACCCAGAGTCACATCCAAAGAAATGGAAGAAATACACCAACAACACCGACCGTTGGGTTTCCAACGGCAATCCACCTCACGATGCCCCCAAGGCATCCACCCATCTTACAACACACAACACACCTCCTTTATTTACTTCATAGGAGACACGAGGATCTTCCAGCGAAGAAGCTTACACTCTCGCATGCAATGTTCTGCCAACAATCAGTCAGTTGAGCACCTCGCAAACATGGGTCTTGTTTGTTCCACCATTACAACACTGTGTGCGAAGAAGTGGGCGAGAAAAGAATGTTATGTACTTCGTACGAAGTACTATTAAGTGGAAAAGGATGGGTGGGGATGGAAAACGGCCGGAGTAGGGCCGTGGACGATGATCCTCTCTTCCAGACATCGGCATAATTCCGAGTAAATTGACTCTATTGGGAAGGGGGGGGGGGGCTACGTACAGATTACGGAATAACGATCAACGATGGAAGTCGTTTCTCTGTCCACTGTCGACTTCGTATGAAGGATGAGCCGCAATCATTGTCCGGCCTAATCATGTCCTCTGCTGCTCTCCCATTGCAATTGGATTTTATCTACTTCGGGCTGCTTCTGATAATCAGAATGCACCTCCATATTTCGCGATGTCTCCTCGTGCTCCTGATTGTCCAAGTGTTCCCTTGAGGGTGGATGAGACGGTCCGTTTACGGTTTCCAAAAATGCAGATGGGATGGAACTTGCTTATTCTCGGAGAGACGCAGCACTGAGTATTACACTAATTTAATTCAACCGGAGGAGCATCGTAATTTAAGTTAACAAAGTAGTGCAGGGTAAGATCTAGGTATCTAAAAGTACTGTAAACCTTTAATTTAGTTTGAGTGTACCTCGACGATATTTTCCGTGACCTCTCTAGTACTGGTTAAATGATCCCGTTGCGTGCGGGGAGTAATGATGATACATTACCCTCCAAGGTGTACTCGGACTTGTCACGGTTGTACTAAGGCGTTACTACAAAAGTATCGCAGGGGCCGAGGTAAAGAGAGGTACCTTCTTATTATGCGAAGTAATATAGAATGTATTACTATCCAGTACATAGCTGTTGGCAGTGATGGGTTCACAGCCTGCTTTTTGGGGATGGGTCGGTTCCAGAGAGGAACACTCAGATAAAGGAAGGGTGCGAAGTAATTACGAGGTTTCAGCCCATCACTCGATGGACGAGCGACGCCGCGGAGAGTGAGGGCTGGGCCCCTTCTTTTATATTTCTCCTTGGTCAGTTTTCCCCGACTCATAAAACCAATTGTCGACCAGACCAATGAACATCTACGAAGTACTCCCCAATTTTCTTCGAGATCTTTGATGCTCGACGATTAACGTTGGATATTACGAAGTGGGAAAACGGGGCCACGTATTGGATGTACTCGTTGCTTCATCAGAGACTTTTACTCTAGAGATGAGTGATAGCGCTTTAAAGAGGCCATTGTGTTGTCGGACAGGGCAGTTCGGGTGCGGTGGATGGGCCCCAAAAGAAAGACCGAAAACGGCCGAAGCTATCAGTCGAGGCAGGCTAGTGGACATAGTATTTCCAGTACCTTGCGAATGATAATACCGTAGTGATGGAAGGAGAAAAACCTTTTAATTCTGTGCTCTGAACCCCCTTCCGCGGGCCTATGCTGATAACCGACACCACAGGATTAATTCGGGGAGAGTGAGGATCGCCCTCACCAGGTATGCTTATCGGACCGCGCATGGAAATGTCAGGGATCAAATATGGTTCACCACTGCTTAGTCGGAAGGAAGGGGAAAAAAAATATCAAAGAAATCAAAATCCAAGATGAGGCCTAGCCACTTCATACAGGACTATTTTCAAGCCCATTTTCAAACTTTTTTTTCTTATAAATAATAAGAAAATACAATAAAATAAAGGGATAATAAGGAGAGCAAAATCGAAGTCCCCTTAGGCAGGCTCTCTGTCAGTTGGTCACAGCATGTGTTTGGAGTTTCGTGGGTGAATGGCACTTGGTGTAGAGTGTCTCATTTGTCCCGCTGTGTCGTTAACACATTAAAATTCCGTATAATTGATTCTCGCTCTTGGGCTGTGACTGACGTTATGTGTTTATTACGGAACCGTTATGGGCTCGCTCCCCTGCACGTCCGCCAAATTTGATCGGCTATTGGCACAGATATGTAGGGGCTATTCGGAGTATTGCCGCTGGACAGGTCTTTCTTTGACACTCCCCACTATTACGCCGGCCAAAACGCCGTCCCATCCACCGACATTAGTTAGTGCCAGGCCACGCGCCTTTCCGCACCTTCTCTCTCTCTTTCTTTTCTGACACCCTTCTTGCAACACCCATTTCCATACAGCCACGATCGCCGCCTCATTCTCCGACCTCTCCATCTCGTCTATCCTGTTGACTTCGTACGATATTGGCCTGCGACTCGAATTCATTCGCGAGCGAAATTTAACCTACGCATATTCCGCAAACTCGCCTTGGCTGCTCCAAATTGGATCGTGTCAGGGTCATTCACCTCACCGACTCGCTCTCAGACCAAGACTCGCCTCGCCACTCCGCTCGTCGAGTCGCCCTCACTCCAAACAAAAGGCCGGAACGCTATCCATCGGAAACATCCAACGTATTTCCACACATCGTCGTCGAGATCATCAATTACAGATCTACGCCTCTGTCGGTGCACGGAGGGTCTATTCCGTATCATCGTGCATAGCTCTCTCCGGACCGAACACTGCTCGAATAGCATTGTCGTTTCTCGTTCAGCCGTCGAGTCGATTCATCGATCAAGCGCCCAGAACAACCTAATGGAGGCTCATCTCAGGGTTGTCATTGACCTGTGACACAGAGGTCCACACCGTGGCCGTGTCATGACGAGGTTAAACCCTGACCTCCAAAAGGTCCTCGCGATCCTATTCCCCACGACATTCAACTCGTTTTAATCGCTCCGTCCTTCAACCCCAGAGCAAACCGGCGGCGAGTGGCCGAGTCATCGTAGCAACCATGGATCCCCCACACATCACCGAATTCGCCTCGGAACGATATTTTAGTAAACTCAATCAATTAGGCGATGCTCCCGAGGCGGCGACGTCGTCTCTTCCCGGGCCCTCACAACCACACTCCATCCAGTCTTCAACCTTCATTTTACCCCTGAGGTCGTCGTCAAAACCATGCGAGAGCGAAGTTGCGACCATTCGTCCCCCGGACCACAAGCGCTCGGAGCGAAGCCGATTATTTGGATTGCGCTCGAAAGTCTCTCTCCTGCACGCAAAGCCTACTCCGCCCGTACCGACATCACCATCGTATTCATCCAAGCCAGCAGGCGACTTAACCACACCGGCACGGTAAGCGTCGTCACGCATTGACACTGGAGATCATTCAGCATCGGCTAACGTCTTCAACAGGGTACCCCTAGACGATCTTTTCCGCTCGTTACCCAGCGAACTTCAGATTCAAATCATCAACTCACTTCCTCTCTCCGATATTTTGAACCTGCGGCGGGTTTCCCGTTCGTGGCATACCCTGATCACACTCAACGAAGGGCCAATAGTCAGATATCATCTGGATCATCATATACCCGCTTATGCTGTCCGACTATATCCCGCCCCGGATCCATCCAAAGCGGATTTTTATTATCTCTGCGGCCTGTGGCATAGGCTTCATGTCGCAGCGAAATTGTCACATTTAATGTGTGAATGGATAACCAAAGAAATATTTCTCAGGACCACCAAGGCGCAAAAACTAGACTTTGCCCCGCAGCAGGAACGAATGCGACGGCGCTTGATACCATTGTTATTCACCATTTTCCACTTCTTTGAGATGTACCGGAAGCTGCACCTGGAGCACATTGCGGAGCACGGCGGTTATGGCCTGCGACATACACCGTACACCCTCAACCCTATCGAAGTTAAAATCATGAACATGTACGACGATAAAACGCTACTACGAGTCCACCAAGTATTCCCACTCGTCATTTCCTCATTCTGTCGCCAACTACGGCCCCCTTCATATGCCGGTCGAGTTGAACGATCTCTTCGTGGCTATCTGAGAGAAAAGCCACCAGATGAAGTCCATGCCGCCATTCTCTGCCTGGGTGGGCTGAGGCAAGTGGAGCGGTTTTGGGAGATCGGAGGATACAACTCCCGCCGGGGTGCCGTCGACCATTGGTATTCCTCCGTGGCCTTGACTCCTGAGCCTCCCACAAAGCCTAAGCGATCAATTATGGGCATCGGCCGGAAGAAGTCTATGGCTGCGCTAAAGAACAGCGCTATGCGACATGCCAACAACCCGCCCCTCCCGCCGCTTGATCCCGCTCTAATTAACTCGACGAACTTCGTTTTTGGCACCAGCCTAGCAGCGGGTATGCCCATGGCCTCGCTGGCTCCGGACCACGCTCGACAACTATTACCCGATTTACCGACCTTACAGCATATATGGTTGTTGACCGCTGAAACATTGATTCTCGACAGGAAAATTGTTCAGCGGTCGCAAGATATCTTGCGTAATGCCCAGGTCATGCTTGAACTCATTCGCGAAGACGGCCTGGAGGAGGAGGATGAATGGTGGTATGGTCGCAATGCGCCAGACTCACTTCGTCCACCAGCCGAGGCTTTCGAGAACGATGTCGGTGATAGTGGGATGGTCGATCCTCTTCTCTAAGCATTTCCAGAGAAGAAACAGCACATTTTCGTTTGTTTATACTTTTCCACTTTCTGCACATATATTCACACCATAAAACGTTAGCTTTCGCCTCTGCTCTGACGCAGCCATCCACGCGAAATTTTTCTCTCGCGCGTGCACATATATACACGCACGCACACGCACACGCACACGCACACGCGCTCTCTCTTTCTCACACACACACACTCTCTCTCTCTCTCGATATATATATATTTCATCTCTTTTGTTGAACAATGTATGGATAACGGATAGTGCGGACGTTGGTTTGGTTCGGTTGGCTTGTTAAGGCTTATCATAATCATTTGGGGTTTGGTTATATTCATTAATGGGCACACAAATGGAGCATTCTGGGATAGATACCGCACAAATAATCCGCCTGAGGGTGGTTGGGAAATAAAGTTTTATATTTCATTCACACTTCCTGTCCTCACTCGTTGTGAGTAGTTTGCTGGCTATGGAGGCCTTCGGCGAAACTGCATAACTGAGGTCTTCTTCCCTCCTGTAGTTAGGTCCTTGGGGACCTTTGTAGTATCCCTGTTAATAGATTGATGCTACTCTGTAAGACGCTCCTCAAACTCCGAGCGCATCTCGAGATTCCAGCTTTACCCTCCAAAGAATCAGGGGACACACTCTCATATCAGCCACCGGTAGATATGTAAAGATATGCGCGTAAAAAATTCTATTCATCGTGGACGGGTACCTAACCTAGCTCAAATGAAGGCCGGGTAGCTAGGATAAATACGTCTCAGACGACCCCGAAAAATTTTCTTTTCGTGAGTTATACGCCTCTTTTAGCACTATCAATGAATTATCCGTGAAATGGAAGAAAGGCCCGAGAGATATCAAGTGAAGCTCGGTCAGAGTACCGTTGGCGACACCACGCATACACCGACTACCATGATGTCATCAGAGCTTTCGAGAAATACTGAGGAACAACTCTGAGGGAAGCCGTGTCGTCCAAAACTGTGACATGTGCTGTCAAGTGATGGGCGCGGCTGACTAACCATGTCAGACAAGACGAGATAAGGTCTTGGCGACTTGGAGTTAGTTCTCCCCCACAATGGCTGCACCACTAGCAAAGCTCCAAACAACACTGAGTAGATGCAAGACGAGTAGCATCATCCATTTCCTTTTCCCTTGTTTCCGGCGGTCTGCTGTTGATCCCACCTCTTGAGACCTCGGTGTAGTACAAACCGCCTTCCTTCGGCTTTGATCCTGGCGGATAAACCGGGGTTGTCCCAAAGCTCAGCAACCCGAGATAGAGACAGCGGCTTGCCCCAGGCATTGATCGCCCCGCCTTGCAAGCTTCTCGAGGCAGCAGGATTTCTATCAACGAATTTGATCCTTCGTTAGTTTGTCCTCCTTTCTCCCAATATGCAGCATTGGGCCCTCCCTTTCCCCTATTTGCGCCTTTCTTTCAGGCAGCCAACTTCACTTTAATATTGACCGCAGTGTTCCCAAGATGTCAAAGGAACATTGAACCATGGCGATTAAATACAGTCTCCTCTCCTTGCCCCTCGAAGCGTTCGACTCCTCGGACAGGGACGATGCCTTGGCCACATTGCGATCAATCGTTTCTGACCTCGGTACCGTTATCCCATATCGCATCCCTAGCTTTAAGATCGGCACACTGGACGCGTTAGTGCAACAAGCCGACGACCTGGCAAAAATGGATTCTACCTGTGCCGGCGTAGTATCCAAAGTAGCCGACTCTCTGAAGTCTCTCCTGGGTGGCGATGAAGGGAAGATTGCACAGCATAAGAAAGTAAATGAGAGTCAGTAATGTTCAGATTACTCTCTAACGGGCACCAAACTCAGATTAACCTCCAACGTCCCTAGCACAGAATCAACAGATCAGTACATCGCCGATTTCTCCTGGAACACCGTTCTTTACCGACCAGATAAGCCTCTAAGCGAACTTGTTAGCATGCTTCAAAAGGCGCGCAAAGACTCCCCAACCCGCACTCACCAAACGCCACTCTAGCCCTCTCCCGGTTTCACGTAATCTAACAGTCAGCTGCAGGAACTTGGTTCTCTAGATAACGATATCAAGACCAAGATCAATCAATACACCTCGGTAAAGACCAGCTTGGCATCGCTTGAGAGACAGAGAAAGTGAGTTATGTTTCCCTCATCACCTCCGTAGCCCTCCTCTCAAGGTGCGCCCTCTAATTACGGCTGGACTGCAGTGGCAACCTATCAACAAAATCTCTCTCTTCGGTGGTAGATCCTGCCACTCTTGTCCAAGGCTCCGAATACCTTGAAAGCCACCTAGTTGCCGTACCAAAGATTGGCAAGAAGGACTTTTTGCGAGGCTACGAGACTCTAGCCCAGTTTGTCGTGCCCAGGTCAGCACTTCAGGTAGCCCAAGATGATGAGTTTGTTCTCTTCACTGTCGTTACGTTTCGGAAGGCCAGTGCCGAGTTTTTGCAAAAGTGCCGCGAACATAAGTGGATTCCTCGCCAATACCGATACATAGAGGGCGGGAAAGAGGAGGAACAGCGGGAGCTCGACCGTGTCGCGCAGGAAGAAAAGAGAGCGTGGGCCGAAGCTATGCGCATGGCTGTCACCGGTTGGAGTGAGTCTGTGCAAATTTGGCTACATATTCTGGTCTTGCGCGTTTTCGTGGAGGCGGTCCTTCGATATGGCTTGCCCCTCGACTATGTCACAAGCCTTATCAAGGCAAGTCCGGCCCTGCAATGCTACCCTTTTCGTGACAAGCAACCTGGCAAAAGAAGCTGACGACCAGAGACCTAGACCACACCGAAGGCCTCCAAAAAGGTGAAGACAACGCTCGACTCCAATTTCTCATACCTCGGTGGAAACGCCGTCCGAAGGGATAAGCGAGGTAACGTGGCGGATGACACCGCCTTGGCCTCCGAGATGGCAGCTGCAGGGCTCGGTTCCGCTGCAAGCGAGTACACCGCCTACGTCTACTTTGAGCTTGAGGTCCCATAAGAAGCCTTTTTTTCCCTCTTTTCTTTTCTATGGGCTACAACAGACAAAAGATCCAGTCCCGTTATCCCAGATATCAGGATATATTTTGAGAAAATGCGATACAGCTCAACTTAGCAAACTTCGCCTAGCGATCGGGGGCCTCACGGATAACTTGGGATAGGATTCTGGTTGTTTGTTAGAAAACAGGTTCTTGTGCCATTATGCGACTGTTTTTTCAACTAGGCCCTTAGCGTTTAACCATTCAACGATGTCCGCAACGCATTCTTCGACACTCTTCTGATCTGTGCGGATATGAATCTCCGGGTCTTGTGGCTCCTCATATGGTGCTGATATGCCGGTGAAATCCTTGATTTCTCCAGCCCTTGCCTTCTTGTAGAGGCCCTTCGGGTCTCGTTTCTCTGCAACCTCGATCGGCACATCGACGTAGACTTCGACGAACGGGATAGCTTCCCCGTCAACGCCATTGGCCTGGCTATGGAGGTCTCGAGCAACCTGGCGATCGGCGCGATAGGGCGAGATAAACGATGTTATAGCAATAGTTGCCGAGTCAGCAAACAGTTTGGCGACTTCTCCGATTCGTCTGATATTTTCATTTCGGTCCTTTTCAGAAAAGCCCAAATCTTTGTTGAGGCCAAACCGTACGTTATCTCCGTCCAAACGATACGCGGCGAGTCCGAGGTGCAGGAGATGTTGCTCAAGTGCAGTGGCCACGGTAGACTTTCCTGAGGCCGAAAGGCCCGTCAGCCATATCGTGAACCCCTTCTGTCCCCTGAGGGAAAAGCGCTCTTTCCTCGAAAGCGAGGGATGCCAGGTAATGTTCCTAGATCCATGGATGTTGGATGTCAACGAAACGGGCCAAGAAGATCCGTTGGGGAAATAGGAACACCATAAAAGACTCACGTAGCCATCTCGGTCCCAGCACTGCGAAAGGGAACTTCTAGATACCGGTTATGCTGGTGATGATGCACCCTTTGCGGATTTCTTTCCTCCTCTAATTTTTTTTCTTTTCTTTTCTTTTCTTTTTTTTTTTCCTGTTGCTGTGGCGGGTAGATTTGACAGGTAGATTTAATACATGGCAGATTTGCAGCGCATTTGATCTTGCTAGAACATCAACCCCACCAACAATGGAAAGCAGCACGCCGAAATCGCATTTCAGGTTCAACTGTTCGGACTCGACTCGCGGTGCTCCGGCAAGAAGTTTTAGTCATCTGCTCTTCGCATCTAAACTAATTTGACCGAAAAGTAAACTACAACAGTAACTGCGACATTTAATGCCAAAATGGACGTGGACAAGTCACAACAGTACATCTGTATGAGTAAAGCGAGGCGCCGGTTGCGGTTAAAGTCTATTGCGTCAACAATGCATAAAGTGACAACATCTAAGAAGACTTCTAGAATGTACAGTGGGTCGTTTCTATCCTGCAATGTGGCAGCCCAAGACGCCAGTCTATCAAGCCCATTCCTATCAAAAATTATATTTTACACCGCAACACAGAGAGTTTAATGGTCTCGATCCTCTGTCGGAGTGTTGGAAAGTTGGAAATTGGTGTTTCGACACTCACGGCCGGAGTTTGGGCATCAACTAAATCACATCAACGCGTCAACAGGCGAGAAAAGACCGAGGTTTGGATACACTTGTGACTTACCCAAGCATGCTTCGGAGATACGAAAAGGGCGCTAGCTTCCGCAATCGTAGTTGGCGCCTGGCCATCTGGAACGAGTGTCTCGATGCGCCCCTCAACCCAGGCTTTGCGTCCGTCAACCTTTGTTGTGCGCGCTGAAAGCACAAAGTAGTTGCCCGCCTGTGCCGGCTTTCGGTAGTTGATTTCAAGCTTGGCCGTAACGCCGATCTCGTGTGGCAATGCTGCAAAACAACAACTAGCGAGGCCTTCGTCGAGTAGCGTAGCCAGAAGCCCGCCGTGCACGAGCTCTGGATGTCCACACAGATTTTTTCCAATGTAGACTATAGAAACTAACGACTTTCCTTCGCCATCCTTCCAGGCGTAAGGTGGAACCACGATCTTCTCCGGCCCTGCCAAAACACCGGCTGTAAGACTCTGCTGCTTGAAAGCCTCGGGCATCTTCATGTGAGGTCGGGATTCGATCATCCCGGGGGTCTCGCGCAGCCGCTTCGTTAAAGGGTGCGCATTTATGTATTCGTCAACCCTGCGGGCCTGATCGTCTGTGGGGTTGTATGCAGATCGGCTCGCCTCGTCTGACAGAAAGTTCAGACCCAGTAGGCTGGCAGGAAGAGTAGAGTAGATGGCTGTGAGGAATCCAGCCGTAGCGAAGGCAAGCCCACCAACACCGATGAACGCCGCAGTCCGGAAACGAGATGGTTTGCTAGAGGCGCCAGCCGTTGAACTCGTCGGCCGTACTATGATAAACGTGGTGACAGATCAGCCACGAATCCCGGGGCAATAGAAAACAGACGCTGGCTGTCCCGTGTAGAGGAAAACCACGAAAGCTACCTACCTCGTATGGGGGATACATTGAACTTCTGATATGGCCACCTCGTCCTTGCCAATCCCAAGTGAGGCGACTGGAGATTCGGCACCGAGCCAGGCAAGCGCGGGAATCGAACGTGAACGCGCATTTGCGCTCTTAGTTTGCGACGGGGCGGCTTCGTCGAGAGGATAGAGGCAAGTGGCGGGTGACTCGATACGTTCCACGAAACATGCAAGAGGAAGGAGAGTACGAAGTAATAACCATTGATTTTTAATTCAAAGCATGAACGGCGACAACATTTGAACCAGCTCCTTTTCCAATTAGCGTAGGCGCTGCATGGACGGGAGAAAAATCCCGAGGTCCGATGGAAGAGCGAACCCGCCAGGGTGGGTCTCCGGCATTGCATTAAAAAAGCCTTGTGAAATAAAATCTCTCTACTTATGTGGCACACAAACATTGAAGCTCCCAACCAACGATCCTCTTTGTGATGTAGTCTCATTGTCAAATATGGCTAACCTAGCATTGCTCGGAATGAGCTGTAATTACTCTTCCTGGGCCAAGATATCCGCGTAATCATCTGCAGACGCGAACGTCGGAAGATCCCGAAGCCTCTTTCTTCGACTTGCTCGCTTTGTACTCTCACTTGTTGCGCCATCGCCACCTTCGTTGCCGACTTGGCCAGCATCAGCAGCATCCCCTCCTTCATCCTCATCCAGCTCACTAGAGAGACCACTCGCATTCCAACCATCCATATCATCGCCAGAATCATCCGTCTCGGCGTAAGCAGTCTCAAGGTCCTCTAAGGAGACATCATCCTCTGGTTCCTCGGGCACCAACGCATTCCACACTTCATCCTCTTCGCCTTCGTCTTCTCCCTCTCCGGATGCCGCCTCTGGATGGGAACTTACGGCGCCGTCGGGCCGCCCGATTTGACTGAAGTATTCATAGAAGAAGACGTCCTCAGCTGCAACATCTTCTATCTTTTTCGACCAAAAGCTGACGTCATTCACCAAGTCGCTAGATACCAACGTGCGTTTGCTCCGTAGCCAGAGATCTGATCCACTACCGGCAGAGTGTAGCGGCTGCATGATGGAGCCACCTCGGGTAACTTCTTTGCCCTTGGGATTCCGGTAAGCAAATTTATCAAGGAACCGGATTAGGCTATGGCTTTCAAGATCCGGCTTCTGAGCTTTCACGGACCTGAGGACCGAGGACGCATATACTAGCACAGCAGGGTGGAAATGGCGCAAGATAGGCACCTATAACTAGTTAGCGTGATTTGCCTCTCAAAATCGATCAGATATGATTGCTGCTCACAAGATCCCAAAGGCAGCTGTGGTCGGCATTGCTGTATTCCGGGTCTCGTTTCCGGCCATCATATCGTGCACTCGGATTACCAATCGGACCCTCGTCTGTTTGCTCCCTCTGTTCCTCGGGCTCTTCGATCAGAGTGAAAATACCCGGAAATAGAGATTGAAGCTCCGAAATAACATACAGAGCTCCGCATATGAATGGTGGTTGATGGAGTGTTAGTATCTGGAGAAGTCTCTTCACAAACGCCTTCACTCTCTTGACGTTAACGTCAGATCTCAAAGTTCTCAAGATTAAATTGAGATACATTGCCTGCTTCGAGGAGGTACACAGCCGCGGATCTAGGAGCGATTCGTACAGAACGCGGTAGAGTCTATCCCCGGCAAGATTTCGAGCGGCCGTCAATTGTTGTATCAGCATCATCGCCTGGATGCTCGTATTGAAATTTGAGGAATGGATAATCTTGAAGAGGGTGTCCAGATGTTTTCCCAGGCTGCCTAGTCTTAGTCGTGTCTCATGAGATTGAGTAGCTGCGGTGTCAGGGAACTTACGTCGATTCATCCCCATCAACAAATGGGATCGTGCGGTTTATGCCAGTAAGAATCGCAGAAGCTAGCTTCTCGGCGAGCGCTTCCGAATTTGCCAGTTCGGTGCTGGTGGACAACTCGCCTCGAAGGGAAGACATTTCTCCGCTGCCGAGCATAGCGGTAAACATATCGAAGAATATCCTCAATAGATTTGCTGACACGTGTGCCTCCTTGCTACTCAAAATGGTTTGGTTGAGTGTGGTCACAGCGCAATATCTAGTCCTCACCGGCTGCCCCGGTCGTAGGATCACTTCGTGCTCTATCGTGCGAATGATTACGTCTTTCATACCAGGGTGAATACCTTGGAGCTGAAGAAGAAAGTGGGACGCGCGAGAAGAAAGTTTCCGGTCCCTGTCGCCTAGCTTGTTAACTAGAAGCCGAAGTAAATTAACTTCCTGCTCAGGCTTCTCTCGAAGAAGGCCAAACACAAAGTCAAGGGACCTTGTCCGAGAATAGTCTATATCATCGCTCGACCAGACTTCGAGGAGTTGGACTACCTTGAAGTATGCAGCCTTTAACCAGTCTTCGTAAGCCCAAGAGATCAAATGAGCTGGTGCCACGCCTTCTGGTAACTTGGATGGAAGATTCCATGTATAGATCCGATCCCTTTGCAGCGCACCTACGAGTCCTGGTTGATGATGAAACTGCACCAGCTTCCGATTTCCTGGCAAGACGAGACCAGGTCCCATGAGATCGACAATCGCAGCAAGTGCAATAATGGCCTGGCTGCGGCTTTTCTTGGAGGCTAGGTTCAGGAGGGCCTCTAGTGCCCGCACATTATGCACGGGGGATTCCTGGACTGCTAAGGTTAGAGCGGACACTTTGTCGTTCATGGTGCCGGACGACATGATTGTTGAAAGAAATTTATGTGTCGAGGACGCAAGAAAGCTCTTTGAATATATCGATGAATCGTTTTCTAATAGTGACCACGCATGCTCTTTGAGAGACTGGATGGCTTGCGCATGTGGCGATATGTCGTCGGAGAGTGGAATCGGGAGATCTGGTAGACCGACAGCGTGCCACTCAGCCACCGGTTCGAACACCTAGAAATAGAGTGAGCTGTCTGTAGGATCAGCACGAGAGGTGCAGCACATACAATGCCCTTAATCTGCGTCGGCAAAGCAGACGGGCCATCCGAAGCCAGAGGCGGTTCTGCAGCGGTGGTGCTCACGCTTGAGACAGGCGGGGAGCCGTGTACAGGTTGCGAAAACCCAAGCTTCCCAGCAAACTCCGCCAGCTCAGTATGAAAATTGTGCGGAAGTGGAGGGACGGACTCCTCGTGCTCGTCCTCCGATTGGGATGGAGCGTCCAGAACAAGTTGTAAGTCCTCTTCATCCCCACCCAGATCACGAATCTCGTTGAGGAGAGTATCCCTCGATATATCCCCGGGTGGACTTTCGGCAAGCGTGCTGGTAAGAGCTTGCGGGCTGCTTTCGTCGGCAGTGAAGTTAAGACCACTGCGTCTTCGCTTCTTACTTTGGGAAGAATGCTTGGACGCATCTGGTCCCGACTTCCGTTTTATCGCGGACATGTAGCAATCTTGCGTCGATGCGGCCTCGACACCAAAATTCGGTAGGACCTAGTAGATGTATATTGGCGGAACTCAATTCCTCTTCTGCGACATGCGATAGGTATCGCAATTGGGCAAGGTCGTCAAAAGAATTTTGAGAAATCGAGACCATGCGGGCAGGTAAAGAAAAAAAAAAAAAAAAAAAAAAAAAAAAAAAGAAAAGAAAAGTTATCTTGTGGATCCACAGGTTCCTGTCATTAGGTAAGCATCAACGGGGACCAAGTCGCGTGGTTGTATAAAATCCAGGTTCACGCGGCTCAGCTTCAACAGCTCTGAATTGAGATGGACATGGTACACATTCATATGAGGATGGTACGACTGCTTTAAAAACACAAGACTCCCATCAAGCCATGCCATACATTCCCATATTCTAATCAAATCGGTCCTGCCAACCGCGAACACAGTTGGAAGAAGGACGAAGGGCATTAGCGACATTGGGGTGTGTTAAGAAGCACGGAATCGATACTTATTTACATGAGTTCCAAGCCGTAGGAATGGGGGTATTAGGTGTATCTTTGCGGACAGGCTCCCGAGTAAGTCTGCTGTCCGCGTGATCAGTGCCCCCGGTTTTCTTCCTCGTCTGAACTCAAGAAAACCGGTCTGGTCTTGTTGCCGTCTTTGCTCTCGGTTGGTCCAATTACTGACGGGCCCATTAGGCTCTCTTCAGCTCACTGTCAGGCTCATCAGGGCGGTCGTTGCGCTCCCAGATATGGCAACCTACCGGAGGCATCTCAAAGACTCTCAATGAAGGTATCGGCGCCCTTCCTAGGCAAATCATTGCTGTATGCTAATGGTTTCGCAGGGGGCCATGACAAGCTCATTCGGGCTGGTTATCTCAGACAGGTTGGACTTCTCTCCCTTCAAAACCTCGCCTAGCATTCGTCTTATGGGGTCTCGTCTGTAGTCGAATATCGGGACATTCAATCTTTTGCCATTAGGGTTGAGGGTGCAGGAGAAAATCGAACGACTCTTGGACATGAGTATGCGAAGCATAGGTGAGTTGGATTCTTCCCTCCACTTCTGCTACAGGGCGGTTAGGTTCATTGTATTTACCAATTTCAAGGAGCTTCGAAAGTTTCGCTCTCGTCCATTGCATCTCAGCAACTCTGGGAGCGCAGCGGTCGGTTGCACCAAGTCGGCCCGGAGGTGAGATAAACGGCCCCTCCTCTTCTCCCACTCTCTTTCTCCAAGGCGAGCTTCTGTTCATATTTCCGGGGCGGGATTGTTGATTTTGAGCAACAGCTCTTCAAATTTGAAGATCGCAAACATACTCCCTTCCTGCTCTCACCAACACATGAGGAGGAGATCACTCACATGGTTTCCGGGGTAACCCAATCCTATAAAGATCTCCCTCTCAGGCTCTACCAAATTTGTAAGCTTCCCAAGCATGATTCCTCTAACTGTCGACTGACCCGTCTAGCACGAAAGTATCGGGATGAGCTTCGGCCTCGTCACGGATTACTTCGGACCCGCGAGTTCACAATGAAGGACTTGTACACGTTTGATTTGGACCTACCATCTGCCATTGAAACATACCGGCGGGTCGGGGAAGCATATGTCCAATTTTTTTCCAACCTTAACATACCGTTCCTAGTGGCAGAGGCAAGCTGCGGTGATATGGGTGGCAGCATGAGTCACGAATATCATATGCCATCTCACTTGGGCGAGGACGTTATTATCAACTGCCGGAAGTGTGGCTATTCGGCCAACGAAGAAGTTGCAGAAACGGCGATCTCGCCAGGATCTACCCCCGTTTCTGGGACATCTGTGGCTGTTTGGAGGGGCGTCTCAAAAGACCGGTCCGTTCTCGTCAACGCTTGGTATATGTCTAGCGATAAGATGACCTCTCCTATTAGCATCCATGCGGTCAAGGCCTCGGTGCCAGATATTGACACTAGCATTGAAGATGCTACGCCGATTTGGGTAGAGACACTCAGCGGTGGTGCTTGGAAAAACAGCCCGCCGTCCCCTCTAAAACTAGTGAATCTGATCGACTTCAGAGTCGCAGACCTAGTTGACGCGATTAGACGCGGCCATGGGCCAGTGCCCACTATGTTCCCGCCCGGCACCTTCAGCACCTGTGACATACCACAATCCTTCGTGGAAAAGTCGTCTCTAGGTGGCCCGCTAAATCTTGTCCGGATCCAGAACGGCGACCCATGTCCCCGCTGTGAGACAGGCACAGTTGAAGTGGTAAAATCCCTCGAGTTAGGGCACACGTTCCACCTCGGGACTCGATATTCAGATCCCATGGCGGCCAGGGTCGCTGTTCCCTCAACGCAGCGAGATACTTCTGCTGTTGACTCGCGGTCTATGCAAATGGGCTGTTTCGGGGTCGGAGTCACACGAATTATTGGTGCCATCGCGGAAGGTTTTTCGGACGAAAAAGGACTTGTCTGGCCGCTCAGAATCGCTCCATACCAAGTAATCATTGTTCCCGATTCAGATCTTCTCGAAGCGGCCGAACAAGTGTATGATTCAATTACTGACATGCGGCCTGTGGTCTCCACGGGTGGTCCCGTTGATGCGCTCCTCGACGACCGATCTGAGTCAATGCCATGGAAACTGAAAGACGCCGATCTGACTGGTTACCCTGTGGTGATCGTTCTCGGACGTGCTTGGAGAGAATCTGGTGCTTGTGAAGTACAATGTCGACGGCTCTCGGTCAGGGAAATTGTTGCGCGAGAGGAGCTTCCCCAGTATATACACGACCTATTAAATAGGCTGGGATAAATCTAATAATTTTCTCATATTCAAATCCATCTTGATCGCTTCTCCAAATAATAAAGAAAAACCGACATGTTCTTCGATTGTCAAGGGCGGAAAGTGGATTGTGCGTGAAACTATGGCTATGAATCGCCTGGCCAAACTTTGATGGTGATTGGTTTTGGGGACATTCGAATGCTCATGCAATATTACGTATTTGAGAGTCGAAAGCAAGAGGATGATTCAACGTCGTAGTCCCACGCTAACTCAGCAGCCTGACCACTGACCCTGCCTGGTTTCTCCCAATACCCTCCGTCCACCTTCGTGAATCCCCAACAACGAAAATTGATGCCTCGGAGAAATTGATTCAAAATGGCAGCGCAGAAAACAGAAGCCGGTATGAACATGCCCCAAGATCACGGCACGACATAATCCTTACAGGCAGCCGTGCTTTTCTAGTCAACCTTGATACGTTAGATACCCAGCAGCTCTCCCAGGTGAAAAAGCAGATTGAAGGAGAACTCGATCACCTAGGGACATCATTCGCTCAGCTTCATGCAGCGCAAGCAAAATTCATGGAATGCCTCCGCTGTGTAGAGGCGAGGTCTGAAACCTCGGCGGGTACGCTTAACTCGGGTTTTTGAGACTGTCCAAGAACCCCCAAGTGTTACTAACAAATGGAGCGTAGATATCCAATCGGTTCTAGTACCCCTAACTAACTCGCTTTACGTCCGGGGGGAAATACCGCGAGGCGACAGGGTGATTGTAGATATAGGCACGGGATACCTAGTGGAGAAGGTTGTCCATGAGTCTTACTGTGTGCCTTTATTTTTTTCGTGGAGGTAGCTGACTCTCGGGCTTTGGTAGGCTGCGAGTGAGGCCAAGGATTTCTACAAGTCAAGATCGGATGAGCTCTCGAAAACACTGCAGGAGCTGGAGGCCATCCTGCAGCGGAAGACTGCAAACGCCCAGGTGGTAGACGAAGGTAGGACCCCCCCCCCCCTCATTGCCCTCCAGGTCTATTCGTTACTCATTGCCCGAAAAGTCATTAGGAAAAAGATACTTCAGTCTTCCCAGTAAATACATAATAAATACGGGAGTTTGCGAGATGGAACGTGCGGAATGTCACTAGAACGGTTTGGATTTGATCACAGGTTCGTGTTGGTGAAAATCTTGATCTTTAGGCTACCGTCCTTTCGTGAATCTCTTGAACGTAACCACGGGTCTCCAGTTATCGAGGTGCTCTGCAGCCCAGCGATGTCTCGGGCTCATCAGCGGGCGGGCCTAGCTCTGCTGGTTAACCTTAGAGCAACCCAGAACCGGTCAACTCACCCTGATTCAAAATCTCCTGAACTCCAAGAGCACAGTCTAGTAGTTCCATGAAGCTAGATTTCAGGTCTTGGCAGTTTCTGGTGAGGGATAGGATGGCCCGGTCTTTTAACTGCATCCCCTCCATGCCGCTATTCATTTGCTCATCCCACTCTGCTCCGTGCAGGGAGACGGTGCAGGATATGGTTGGAGGTGGCCGAGTGTTGGTACCGGCCCATCGTCTCGTGGTTTCAACATTGAGAACACACGATGTGCCTGGATACGGCAACCTGAACGATGTTCGAAGAACCGTATCCTCGATTTGACAAGGGATACTCGGCGTCGGTGTGATATCCAAACGCGGAGCTTGCAAATCGAAAGAATCGCCCGGTCGGTGGCTTAATTTTATACATTGTTGCAGTCCAGACACCCATGGAGGCATGGCCGAAGTCGAGTCGCGAGCCAGGATATTGAAACTCCAGTCGTATAACCTCGGAGAATGCTGCGTTAGCTCCCTACCGTCTTAGCAAAGAACCATTAGCAGTCTCTACTTACTTGTCCGGGCTTGCGGAAAGGATATCAAGCCTCTTCCAGCCGCGGCGAACAACTCGTGAGCTTGACGTATACCAACGAGTTTCACCTCCAGTCTTAATACGGGCAATGTCGGCTTCTACTCTCTGGTCCTGCATCTGGAACCAAAGCGAGTAATCTGTGTGCCGGCGAAGCACATCCGGGAGACCATCCCCGGAGGTGTTGGGCATGAAGTGCAAGATGAAGAGGCGCGCGAGCGCAAACCCGGCAGCATCGTCACCAATCCTATCCGCAGGTCTGGTTAGTCCGACAAGACTTCAAAACCGCAAGAGAGAGGTTTTTCGCAAGAATTTGCATAATACCTGGTATCTAGCCTGGCTAGTGTTCGGCCAGGGATATGATTCGCGAGTTCGACGAACTGGCGTATGTCAAATTCCACCTGGTCAATCTCTCGCTGGAAGAGCTTGACGGCACCGAAATTTATTCCCATGTGCAATTCACAGCGTGTTGTCTGGAATGAGTCCAAGGAGTCTTGGAAAAGGCCATAAATCTTTTCCTTGTGTTGCTCCATGGTGATTTGCTCAATTACGCCAGGTTCGGCATCCGGGTCTCCTGGGAAGAGGATTGGCCGCCTTCCTCCCCCATTAGGTCCCTTTGGAGGATGGAGTACGATTTTGCCGTGTGATAGCGAGGAGAACGCTAGGGGCTGGACGAGGAGCCTCTGGTGACCGCTTGCTTCCTCGACTTTGAGACCATGGATGGCATGATTTATTCCATGTATTGCCGCTCGTACATGAGTCGGAGAGCTTCCCGTGATGCAAATCACAGTGTTTGATCTTTCTCCACGAATCTCCACACCACATGATTTGCGCAATTCGTCGAATGTGGCAAGTGACTCATCTGATAGAGCCAGGGGCATCTTGGCGTTTCTAGGAAGGATTAAGTGCACCTGAAATACCATCTTGATTAGCTCGAGGTTGGAGATATATCTAAACGTTCGAATCCTCAAGGTCCTCGACGTACGGTCAATCGAACTGCGCGGCCTGTGCGTGTGAAGTCCAGGCGACGCTGATTGCTAGCACCGGCAAGAGCCATCTGAGATGCTTCTTGTGTTCCGGAACCCGGAGAGGATCGGAATTCTCTGCTCCCGAGGCGAGGAACCTGGGCTTCCCCGAGCTTACGCTGGGCCATTTCTAGGATGGCTGCGCCAAATGGTCCTTTGCTGCGTGGCTAAGGAAGGGCTTGGGTGGAATAGGGATCTATCTGATTAAGTTAGACGAGATTTTCGTGGAACATCAGATAGGACACTATGTTACCAGAGCGTTGGGCAATGGATGAGTCGAGACATGGGGTTGAAGCTTCCGGTTGAAAGGGGTCTAGTATTGGAGAGCTCCTTCCCCCAAGGAGTCATTGACGAAGCTTCCCCCAGGAGATCCTGGGCTGACAAGACACAATTGTACAATCCGGACATCGGCCAAACACATTGATCAAGTGCCTCAGGATATCATGGCAACAGTCATATTCACTAGGAAAACAACGGTCAATATTGATCTATGACAATCAGGGTCGATTGGAGTATGCCAACGCTGAAACAGACAATCCCTGGCTCAATTGTTCGCCTTGCAAGACAATACGGGAGGGCTCCGACATATGATCCAGATTTTCGTTTGCCAGATGGAGAATTAGGATACATCCTCCAAGATTGAAATAACCCAGAACTGTTCAGTCGACAATATTTGATATTTATTGTGGCCATTTAACGAGGGTTCAACCTTGGGGGTTGGTCGAGGCAACTGTGTACACAGATAGTTCTGCCCTTTGGTGAGTCCAGCCGGATGAAATAAAACGACGATGACGGGCAGGAACAGCAATGAATAAGTCGAAGTCCATGCAACCGATTGTATATTGATATTGATGTGGTGTTAAGCTTATTATTATTAAGTCTGCAACTAAACTACGACAATTGTTCCATGACATTTAAACATCAGATTCTACCGATTACCTTCAGGCCGCAAGAGCGTTAAGCGGGTATCAGGGGAGGGTAATAACAGTGGATGCTTCGACCAAGGTGTTACTGAAGTACAATATATCTATCAATTGATGATATTGGGGAAACGAAAAGCTTCGAAAAGGCCAGGGGTCAATGAGGGGTCTCCTTAGCTTCTCCCCATAATCTATCTATCAATCAACCATCAAGTGATCGATTGGTCAATGTCCTTCAAAGGTACAAGTACATCTACTTCATTAGGGCCAAATAAGACCTGGCATGCTGGCTATTACCCCGCCCCCCACTGGTCCCCCGTTCCAAGTTCAAATTTGGAACCTGTTGGGCGTTGGGCCTTTGCACCTCCCACCATCTTACCCCACGCTGCCATTACCGAAGCAGGGACCCAACGGACCTTGGTTTCGCAGGTTGACCTCAATTGAACTTTATAAGACCTCAAGCAAAATATTGATCAACGACCAACTGATAGCCTTATCATCTTCTGGACGAAGCAGTCCACCTTGGACTACCCTCTTGAGGATTTGATGCCTACTGCGTACATCTCATCCAGGAAGTCTAGTTCAGATCTCCTCCGGGGCTCCGGTCCCCTTCTCCCTTCACTTCTCCGCCCCCTCGGTTGTTGGCGCGGTGCTCCAATCAGTGTTTTTCGTTAACCTCATCTCACTCGATAGCCGAGTTTGGTAGGTTTACCCCGGTCTCAGCGCCCTCATGAAAAAATTTCTTTCGGATTCTCTGGTAGTACCACCGTATATTCCCCCACTTAGTATGTCGCGGCCAAGAGATTTCGAATATTTTGAGGCCCGGTGCGATAGGCCTCTCGAAACATGGTTGGTACTGAACTGCAGCCGCTGGGAGCCAAGGCTTTAGGCTCCACAAGCTCACCTTGGCATCGGGATGGAATCACATCATACAGGCCAATTGGAAAGTCGAGCAACCCGTCTCCTGTGGGCGTGCTGCATGTCTTTCGAGTGTATTCCTGGCTTAAGGTTTAAAGCTCACCGCACATCTTCATAACCTTTGACCTCAGGAGATGTTGGAAGAAGAAGACGAAATCTTGGCGCTGGTGGAGAATATATGACCCGTACGTCTATAAAAGGGAGATGCTGCCCTCGCGTCGTCCTACTCTGATCACCACTCAATCACAGCATCCAACACCTGACCTGGATCCTCTTTGATGATTTCAGGACCCCCGGTCTCGCATGTAATCTAGCCCATACTGCTTCACTTGTTTTAACCACCCTGAGCCCCGACCTGAGCAAGGAAGGGGGAGCTCACTTGCAACTATGTCTGTCGAGTACCCAAAGCATCCCTTCCTCTTAACTATACCGGAAACTGTCGACATTCTCGGCACTGATGTCGAAGAGGGACTTCTCTCGAACCAAGTTGCAGAGCTCCAACGAACATATCCTCCCAATGAGCTCGACGTCGGGGGCGGGGTTGCCTGGTATACTATATTGAGCAAGCAGCTGCTCAATGCCATGATTTTGGTATGGAGCAATGTGCCACCATCGTCTGCTCGCCTCCACAGAGCTGACGCTTCTATCACAGGTCTTGGTGTTCGTCATGGTTCTCAGTTATTCCTTCCAGGACTGGATCGAAGGCGGCGTGGTGACTTTTGTCATCATTCTCAATGTTGTTATTGGGTTCTTGCAGGAATATCGTGCAGAGAAGCGTATGGACGCATTGCGGGCCTTGTCATCCCCCAGCGCGACCGTGCTCCGCAATGGCAACACTGCTATCATTCCAAAGTAGGCTACATCGACGCTCCCGACTGCTCTCGAATTGGCTCTCTATCCTCAGCACCATTCTCTTCATGCTAACTCACAAAAGTGCAGATGTGGTGCCTGGCGACATCGTTCTTCTGAAAATGGGAGACACAATTCCCGCCGATCTCCGCCTTTTCGAAGCTATGAATCTCTCGTGCGACGAATCATCTCTGACTGGCGAAGCTGTCCCAGTAGAGAAAACCGTCGCCAATGACATTGTCATCCCCGGCACTAAAAATCCTGCTACCTCTGAAGACCAAGTAGGTATTGGTGACCGCATCAACATTGCGTATGCCACCACAATTGTGAAAAAAGGCCGAGGCCGGGGCATTGTCATTGCGACAGGCATGGTGACTGAGGTGGGCAAGATTGCTGCCTCTACCACCAAGAAGCATCGCAAAGCCGGAAGATCGATGAACTGGAGAAAGTACGGTAAGAGGCAGCCGGTTGTTGGCTTTGCCAAGCGCACGTATGATGCCGTGGGCAAGTTTCTAGGCCTGACAACGGGAACCCCCCTCCAACGGAAGCTGGCCTGGCTAGCGTACATTCTCTTCGCATGTGCCCTCCTTCTGGCTGTTGTTGTCTTCGCTGTGAATCGCTTCCATGTCCCTACGGAAGTAGTCATCTATGCTACTTCCTTAGGTATTGCGATCATTCCCGAATCACTTGTAGCGTGAGTTGCCCCCCCCCTCTTTCCCCCCCCCAAAAAAAGGACATCTGAGCCTCTATCACACCATTCCAGCCATATTGACTATTAGCTCGCTTTTTAGCGTTCTCACGATTACTATGGTGGTTGCCGTTTCTGTGATGAGTAAGGCTAACGTCGTCGTCCGTGATTTATCCGCGCTCGAAGCCCTAGGGGGCGTCACCAACATCTGTTCGGATAAGACGGGGACCTTGACCCAGGGTGCCATGATTGTTCGGACTGCATGGCTACCGATGAACCATTTATATAGCGTTCGAGAAACCCGTCATCCCGCCGATCCTACCGAAGGAAAAGTAACCTACCAGGTGATCGAGGACGAGCCCAAAGAGGCCGAACCCGAAAAGAGGGACTTTGACCAGGAAAGAAGCGCCGCGGCTTTGACGTTCGATGTGCCTGCCGAGAAGCTCAATCCGAAGCGGCCAGATCCGTCGACTACTGATGGGGTGGCAGAAGTAACCCCAGGGCTTCGGTGCTTTCTTCTTTCATCCGCCCTGTGTAACCTTGCGACGGTGAGATACGATGAACTGCTGTCTCGCTGGCAAACCACTGGCGAGCCAACTGAGATAGCCCTACAGGTGTTCGCTCACCGCTTCGATCTTGGAAAGAAGGGCTTGGTTTCTTCGGGCTGGAAGGAACTAGCCGAATTCCCTTTCGATAGCTCCGTTAAGCGCATGTCCGTCATTTACGATCCCCCGAAAGATGGGGAGGAGGTCATTGGTGATAAAAATAGCGTTGTGTTCTGCAAAGGTGCCGTGGAAAGGATCCTCGAGCTCTGCCAGTTTATCGGGTTCGGGGACAATCGACAGGATCTCACCGAGGACGTGAAGCTTGAGGTGATGGAGCAAACCACGAGATTGGCCTCCCAGGGTCAGCGAGTCCTTGCTCTGGCCTACCGTGAATGGAACGGCAAATTCACTCTTCGCCAGTCGCCAGAGTCCGACGCCGCCGACGAAGCCCTGCGTCGAGAGGTCGAGAGCAACCTTACCCTTCTTGGCTTGGCTGGAATCTATGACCCGCCCCGTCGTGAAACCAAGCCATCTATTTCGGAGTGCTCCTCAGCTGGAATAAGGGTGCACATGCTGACGGGCGATCATCCGGAGACTGCCAAGGCTATTGCCAAGGAGGTTGGCATCATCCCAAAGAACTTGTCCACCCTCCCGGCGGCTACGGCAGCCTCCATTGTCCAGATCGCGACCGACTTTGACAAGATGACGGATGAGGAGATAGATGCATTAGACGAGCTTCCGCTGGTGATCGCTCGCTGCGCTCCTGATACCAAGACTCGCATGATCGAAGCTCTTCGTCGCAGAAACGCCTTTATGGCCATGACAGGTGATGGCGTCAATGACGCTCCCTCGCTCTCTCGGGCAGATGTGGGCATCGCCATGGGATCTGGTTCGGATGTGGCAAAATCGGCGTCCAAGATCGTCCTGGCTGATGACAAGTTCAATTCCATCGTGGCCGGGATCCGCGAGGGCCGTCGCATGTTTGATAATATCCAGAAATTCGTCCTTCATTTGCTGAGTTCAAACGTTGGGGAGGTTATCTTGCTCGTCGCAGGATTGGCATTCCGGGATGATTCTGGCTACTCGGTTTTCCCCATTTCTCCTCTCGAAATTCTTTGGATTAACATGATCACTTCGTCATTTCCTGCGTTTGGTCTTGGACGCGAGGCAGCTGCAAGGAACGTCATGTCAAAACCTCCCCATAACAAGAACAGGGGAGTTTTCACAAATCAGATTTTGGCCGATATGATGGTGTACGGTGTTATCATGGGTGTTCTTACCTTGGTCACATTCGTGATTGTCGTCTATGGGGCAAACAACGGTAATCTTGGCGTTGACTGCAACAGGCACTATTCAGATTCATGCCATGCGGTCTTCCGAGCCCGTGCAGCCGTTTTTGCGGAACTGACTTGGCTCATTCTGGTTTCCGCGTGGGAGTTCAAAGACCTCCGAAGGTCTTTGTTCCGCCTTCATCCCAATGACACTCGGAAATTTCCCCTCTTCGAGGATCTTTATTCAAACCGTTTCCTCTTTTGGTCTGTTACCATTGCCGCACTGTCAGTTTTTCCAGTCGTGTACATCCCGCATCTCAACACCAGCGTTTTCAAGCACACCTCTATTAGCTGGGAATGGGGTGTGGTCGTTGGATTTACCTTGCTGTACGTTGTGGGAGTGGAAACTTGGAAATTCATCAAGCGGACTTGGCATCTTCTAGAGGATCACCCAGTCAAGACTGGTATTTTCAAACAAGGCGGGGAGGTGGAGGGTGGCAAGAGTTTTATGAGGACAATGACGGCTACCAGTTTCAAGAGTTGGAAGAGTTTTAGTAGAACGGACACGGGGGAAACGGGAGGAAGAAGCCGGATCTCGAAAGATTAGCTTGCAATGCCGAAGAGACGTCTGACCGGCGTAGAATAAATACATCATCAACATAGGGGACTTGCGTTAATACTGAACAGGTGTTGCTCTGTCATTATAGTACAAACTCCCCGATTCGCCCACTGTCTCGAGGCGTGGCATTCGAACGTTTTGCTCATCTAGTTTGTAAAAATCCTCAATGTCATATCCACGCTGCCTGTTGCGATGACGCAGCGAATCTGTATATCAGAGGTTCCCGCCCCGGTTCCCTTCTTCGGTGTTCCATTCCCCTCCCCGCTTGGTGCTGGAGCAGCCGCACCATTAACCGCATCCTTCACATTCCCCGGGGCCCACCGCAGACAAGTGATAAAATGATCATGTGCATCACCTAGAACCTTGACACACTTGCCTTCTTGGCTTAGGTCCCAACACCGTAGTGTCTTGTCATCTCCCACGGAAAGGAGATACTTGCCCCCCGGATGAAATGCAAGAGCACTCACCCAATTGTCGTGGCCCTCGAGTGTCTTGAGGCAAGCCCCCCGGGAGTCCCACAGCTTGATGGTCTTGTCACGCGAGCCCGTCGCCATGAACTCTGCAGTGCTGGTGGTTGGCGGTGACTTCTTTAATCCGGCCAATGAGGCGAGATACTGGTATGAAGATGGCGGTGCAAACGCACAACACTGAATAACGTTATCGTGGCCGATCATTGTCAGCTTATTCTCTGGGCTCGGTGTAGAAATATCCCATAACCGAAGAGTCTGGTCGTTGCCTGTGGATAAGAGGAATTGCCCGTCCGGTGAGGGGCACACATCTCGCACCCAACCGGTATGGCCGTGTAGCGTCCTAACGCAATACCCAGTGGTAACGTCCCAGATCCTTAGTGTTTGGTCTTTGCCCGCGCTGACAAGAAGATTTCCTGATGATGGTGAGCCAGCGGCTCCGGAACGAATGAAACGGACCGCGCTAATACTATGGTCATGGCCGAGCAGTGTCCGAATGTTCTTGTAACCGTCCGCGGGGTCCCATAACTTTATAGTCAGATCAGAACTACAAGATGCCAGGAGAATCCCGGTTCTTGGGCCACCATAGTCGACATCCAGTATTGCTCTTGTGTGGCCTTTAATTGTCCTTTCTAGATCGCCGAGTTCCCAATCCCATATCTTGATTGTGCAATCATCAGAGCCGGAGGCTACTGACGAGAAGACTGGATGGAATGCGACGCAGTTAATGGTATCCCGGTGAGATTCCAGAGAATGTCGAGGAGGGTGCCTGGGGAGCCAAGAAGCAGGGTCCTGGTTACGCCGAGAGAGAGTAGTCGGCATGGCACTGTCAAGCTCAGATTGCAATGCCATGTTTCGGGACTCGAGGTCCATAATCTGTGACCGAATGCCGGTTAGACATCACTACAACAGTTGAGGCCAAGTGTGGTAGGCTGAATGGGAGCGAGGAGTGCGGGCGTGCCTTCTTCTGTAACCGAGCTATACTCGTCCATTTCTTCTCCAACAATGTTTCGTATTTCTTCGCAGTTGCGTCATCAAAAACATTCTCCCCGAGCCCTAACTCGGCGCGTAGGGCAGCGGCAGCATTCGGTAAGTTATTCCCCGACAGGTATGCAATGATCGACTTGTGTCTAGGAAAACAGCGTCAGTTACGACCAGGAGCTTGGTTTCGTCCCTCGTCTATGGGACGCTACTTACAGTTCCTCCGCTTGCCGACTCGTTAATATCGAAGTCATGGTGGGGATATCACTGATGAGGGTGAATACATTAGCTTAGTATTTTTTTGACGGGCTTGGAGCCCACTCTTGTTGGGTGTTGTCTCCCAGCGACAGTGAAGATATTAAACGGCCGCTTCGCATAAGGATTAAAGAAAGAGTAATTAAGAGAGAAGTACTTTATAATAAATAAAAAAAAAATATTAAATATTATAAATAATCTTTTAAAAGAATATCTTATTAAATAATATTTATAAAAAATTTATTTTATTATAAAATATTTTAATATAATTTATATATTATATATATATATTAAATTAAAATAAATAATTTAAATATTTATTTATATTATATTATTTATTTATATTATATAATAAATATTTTTATAATATATAAATTTATAATTTTAATAATTTAATTTATAATTTTAATAATTTAAATAATTATTTTTTATTAAAATTTAAATTTTATATATTATATAAATACTAAGCCAAGGCTGCGAAAAAAAAAGTTAATAGATAAGTAAAATGAAGACTTATATAAGCTCTATATATGAACAAACGTTGTTGACCAGGAAAGGAATTTCCTGGTGGAACTAGGAAAAACGGTGCCCTCCTTGGTGTGAGGTTCGGCACCGCAGGCCAGCTGGTCACAGCCAGCCGGGCCGCCAACACTCTATTATGCAGGGGCTCCTTCTTTCTAGTATTTAATAGAATTCATTTAGATACAATCTGCACACCCTCCAGAACTTTCTGTTCTATCCGAATCTGCTGCAACGAGATAGGCCGGATGATCCAGCTTGAAAGCATTAGGTAGTGAATTGCATCGCCGTGAGATTTGATAGTAGTTTCATCCAGCCTTTCGTGAACCAGGCTGAGTCTCCAACTGTCATATTGATGTACGACAGCTTCCCACGCCTCGATTACAGATGGCTCCATGGTCAATTCCCATGTGCCTCTCCAAGTAATTATAGCTTTCCCCACATCGCGGAACGCCTGATACTTGAAGAGCGCCGCCAATCCCTTTCTTCCATTCCAAATCTCCATTGTTTCTAACTGTGGCATCTTCATAGCCGCCGCCGCCGCTGCCTGAAGCATAGCTCCAATCTCGATCGAATTCTCGTCCGGCGTAAGTAATTTTGAAGTAAGCGCAAGCGAGGTTAGGTTTGGCCACTCCCAAGAGGGTTCAATCTCGAAGAAATGGCTAGCATCTACGATGAAGGATGCTGCGAGATGCTCAAGCCTGAGACTGGCGAGTGCGACCATCCGACTAACAGCTGGGGCTGGGTTGCGAGTACTGTCGCATCCGCTCAAGTCAACCCCGTCCAGGAATCTCTGCATAATAGCTGGGTACTGTTGATTAAAGTTTTCGAAGACGACTAGTCTCTTGAGATTGTTGTTAGAATGTTGGATAGACTCGAAAAGATATTGAAAATCTAGATAACGGATTGTACACTATTAGCAAGCAGTAACTTCAGCAGGTATGAAGAAAAACTCACTGTTATCTGTATAGCTCTGTATAAAGTCCCATTCTCTCCAGGGCTCGTAGTGGACTTCCTGGAGTCTGGGAAAACGGGCAAGCATACGTGCAAGTGAGCCCGGCTTCCATCTCCGGCGGTTCTGTTGGCGGAGAAGTAATCTGGTCACCGCCGGGACCGATGGAAGCTGGTCCCACCATTGGTGCTCTAACTGCTCACTATCAAACGGACCCTCCTCCATAATTGAATGGAAGACTTTGCGGATAGCCGACGTAGATGGAGCAGAGTGTCGAAAACCAGCAACCCAACCATGTTGAGGATCATTATGGACATTGTTTAAGATCATCTGCTCTATACCACCACCAACAAGCATATCTGGAAGGGTATCGGGCATAAAGGTCAGATATTTAAACCAATGTTTTGAGTCACTCGGCGAGTAGATACTAATATCGAGTGTTAAATCGCCGTGAAGATCCCATGTGCTGAGAACCGAGAACAAGTTCTGAAACGACGTAGTGATAGGACAGTTATCTGTATCACTGATGGCAAATGCCTCTTCCCACTCCACGTCTGTGAGCATTCCGCGGGCAGGGGCACACTTGGTGCAGTCATAGTCATCAAGTTCTAAGCAGAACCAGATATAGCGAACGAGGGCCCGATTGCGTTGAATCATGGAACTGAAATCAATCAGGCGTGACGGTGTCAGTTTGATTCGGGCGAAGTTATACCGCTCGAGTTCTGTTTGCCACTCTCGAGACACCGAGGCCAAGCGACCCAGTGTGCAACCATCTTGCATCAGGGCTTCTAAGATAAGAAGCCGGATTTCTCGAGGCAAGCCATCCCATGTTAAATCCCATTGCCTCATGGCAAGGGATGTGGAAAGCATAGTGTAATAGGCTGAGAGCGGTGGTAATTTCTGTGAGACAGTATTGGGAAGATATGAGTGAGAAATTTATGACGGGAGCATGTGCAATTGTGATAAAAGGATTGAAAATCATCGAGGATTAAATATGAAGGGTGATCCTGGATATTTGGGTGTGCTGATGAGGTATCTGCCTAACATGTGGACCAAAGTCTTCTTCTCAAAAGAACAGTTAACTACTTCGTAGTTAGTATCTTAATCCCAATCCTTAAGCATTACTATAATACTAACCATGCCCTACACGCCTTCCTTCAGAAGAGTGCTATCCACCTAAATAAAACAACTACTAAAACAAAATAAAATTAGAATATATTTAATACTATAGAAAAATAAATATAAAATAATATTAATATATTTTAAAAATAAATAAATAAAATTTTTAAAGTTTTTACTTATATCTCTATATTATTATAGCTTTCAATATATTATCTTATTATTAAATATAAATAATAACTTATAATTATAAAAGGAAAAAAAATATAATTTAATTATTTTAAAATTAATATTTATTAATAAATTACTTATAAAGTTAGTAATTACTTATATAGTAAATATATTATTATTAAAAAATATCTATTAGATTTTTAAATTAAATAAATAAACTATTAAAATAATAAAATTATTATTATTTTTAATAAGAAAATATATTATTATATTTAAGTAAATAGCTTTAATATTAATAATATTATAAAAAATATAAAAAAAGAAAATTATTTTAAAACCTAATTTTTAAAATATAATATTATTATTTATAAATAATAATAAAAAATTAAATAAAATTTAATTTTATTAAATTTTTAAATAAATTTTATATAAAAAGTTTTTAAATTAAAAATATTTTTAATTTATTTAAAATAATTTTAATATAGTTTTTCTTTTAATTAACTTTATTATTATTATTTCTTATAAATTATCTTATATAATAACTCTAGATAATTCTTCTATTATTTTATATATATAAATATTTTCTATTTAATACTTTTATAATCTCTAGCTTTTTCTTATTTAAAAGCTTTTTTTAATTATAATATAACTCTATTTCTATTAATTAATTATTTTAATATTTTATTTTTATTTTTATAGATAAAATTATAGTAGCTTTTTATAAAAACTATTTTTAACTATTTATTATATAAACAAGAAATAATAAGAAGTAAAATTAATAACTTTTAGATCTAGCACCTACTAAAACTAATTACTACTAGTTCTAATTAAAAGTAGAACTCCCCTAAGCATAACTAGTATATATAAGAAGTATTCTTAGTATATACCCTCTAGAGGAGAGAACTAACCTTTTACTATTATAAACTACTAATATATAACTTATAAT